TACATTGAAACTTTTCTGTAGCAAGCACCAAAAGACAAATATTCCGACACCGACACGATTTGAAAACGGTATTGAAACCATATCGCTAAGAGAAATACTCCTTGAGTACGTCTACACCCAGCGCCGCCGGAATCAGGGGGCCACGGGGGCTTAGGCCCCCTGTTTGCGAAAAGTATAAACAAGTGCCCCTTTACGAAAAATATATTGCGTGTATTTTTTCACTGCAAGATATTCTGCCTTTAGAAACTAAGTAAAATATTTTTAACTCTGGACGTTGTTGGAGGACCATTCACTGAAAACTCCTTAAATTTTACTTGGTCTTGATGCAAGAAGCGCAAGCTCCTGTGATGAACAATATCATCTGCGAAGGAGACTGCCAGTTTCGCGAAAAATTTCCTTAGTATGTCTTCAGCAACAAACGCATTAGTGAAAGGTCCGATCAAGTCCCCGGTGGGCACAGTCAGTTGGTCCAATGTGTATCATATGTGTTCTTGAAAGTAAAACTGGACCCCTATCTCTGATTCTGGGTTGAGTAAAATGTACCCTATTCTGTGCCTTTGCCAAACTTGCGGAACTCTTTTCACTGAGAATATTCAAGCTTAAGCAGGAATTTTTGTTAAAATCGAATTAAGTGAACTCTGCTGTACACTGAGCATGTTAGAGCCATTCTTTTACTCAAACTAATGTCTAGGCAAGTTAAAAAGCAGAGTTCACTAAATTTGATTTAAACAACAATCCCTTATGGTTCTTGACATATATATCAACAAAATCAGACATCTATAAAACTATAGCTGCGACATATTGATTGCTTCACAACATTGTGTTCAATGTTTTTTATGAAGAAATGAAAACGTTATGTCCCTGCAATGAGTACATGCTAACAAAGGCTCAAACAAAGACTTAAATTTATTATCTAGGATTAGAACAATATACAAGACTAGACGTACTGCAAAATTTGTTGTACTTGAATATGCCATTGATTTATCTAAAAAGTTATCTGCAACATCATATCAGTAAATTCCTGCCCTTTTGTGCTTCCTCTGACTAATTAAGAATGCAACCCTATTTTCAAGATTCTATGTCTCAGAATTCTAGCTTTTATCAAATTTTCGGAAATACGTTTGATCAACTGACTGAGCCTCCCGGGATCAATTTTAAGGAGAGTTAAAAACTTGTTTCGTTCATAAGACTGTTGAGATAAACCTAATCAATGTTACAAATTGCATTTGCTATGATTGTGAAGAATGTGCCCGCACCTTCAGTCGATTATGTGAAGATGACTCAACCATAAAATTTGTAGCTTTTAAAAGAAAATTCCATGGAGGCGAACAAATTTTTGCTTAAGTGGGGATGGGAAGGTGCGAATACCAAGGGGACTAAATTGTTTAAATATATTAGTAAGAAAATTTAAGTCATTTTTCGAATGGGGCTGAAACAAAGAGATAGGGACTGGAACTCGCTTTGAAGTATGTAGAGACTAAGAATTGAAAAATCCCATTCAGTTCATATTTTGGGTTGGATTAACTATATCCAACGTGTGTCATTATTTTTATAAATGACTGAGTTACCGTGAAATATGTACCATTTTTGGCACTTACTAATGTTTCGGGAAAAAAATCTTCGTGCCCTTTTAATTCGTTTTGCCCCCCCCCCCCTCCCCTGTTCAAACCTGCGTCCGGCGGCCCTGACACCGGGTGCCAAATCTACACTATATCTACACTCTTCTATAGTTTAGCTTCAGGAATATGGTTTAAATCTAGTTTCCAGAAAGGTTTACTTGAGTGAGGATTCACTCATTTCGCGCCACTGCATCGGCCCACAATACGGTATCCCCGGTTTCTTGAGGTCCCGGTGTCGCGAACGCGATTGCACCCTGCACCAAATTGTGCCATCACTACGAGGCTACTCTATACTCAGGGTAGTGTACATCGTGGCTCTTACATTATGAATACACAGCACCGTATTGTTGATGTAAACAAAGAATCATAATAGACCTGAGCAGGATCGCTGAGATATTATATTCTTTTTTTATTCTAAGCAAATTTTACATTCTTAATCTAAAAAAATTATCGATTTACTCTGTAGAGTTTTGCCAGTGACTTAGGTATGATTCAGGCCACTGACATGAAGTGCTTTGCATGCCATAGTTTCTGTAAAAAATATTTTGTTTTTATGTAAAACTGTTCTGCAAAGGAATCATGTGGTCAACAAAGTCAAAAGCTTTCTTTTAATTTCTGAACGCCTTTCCAGTAAATTTTTCATACTGAGGAAAATAAGACAGGATTTCTTTTACGAACTTTATTCTGATAATTAGCATCAAGATACTTGTTAAGTTAGTTAAATATAATAGTGATGATAATGATGATTTTTCTTGAAAAGTGGAGAGAGAACGGGTGGGACTGAAACCTATCTATAATTCTACCAATCATCATCTGTACTTTGTAAATTTGTAAAGCCATATGCATGCAAGTCTGAAGGGTCCAAACTTAGTAAGGTTGAAGTTAATTTCCCCTCTCGAATATTTCTGATACTATGCTTTAAGTGAGTTCCTATAATAATTAGACTGGTGGTATCATTCTTTGAATAAACGTCATACCTCTGTAGATACCTTCCTTTTTAAAACTTCAGAAGCCACCATAAAATTGGACATGCCCTATTGTTACAAACTTAACAATTGTAGCTCGTTTTACGGCTTTCACAGAACTAAAATCGCGTCGCACCCATTTTCGCGCCAGACGTCACGGATAAAACGTCATTGCTCATTAACGTCATTATTAATTTAATCAATTTTTTTAATAAGGAAATTTCATCAGTTTAGCTTAAATTTTGGCCACGCAAACAAAAAAGAAAATGAACAATGCAAATAAAGTATTTTCAGTACTTGTGCACTCTTTGGGATGAAAAATTAAAGCGAAAATTAAAATGACTTGATAATACTTGATAATAGAATAAAATTACAATAATTAGGTTCGTTTATTTTCTTTGCTGCCTTTGACTCTCACAACAAGCTTGACAAAAACTTGCAGCTTAAATTGCTACTACTTTGCATCCCTATATCTATCGAAATTCAATATTTTTAGGCTGTACGCTTACATTTGAAGAGGAAGAAAATAACTCCTTGCCGTTTCTAGATGTTTTGGTTGAAAAATCTGGCACTGGATTTCTCACTAGTGTATACCGTAAACGTAAAGCCACATTTTCGGGGTTATACACTGGATGGAGTTCATTTTGCCCAAAACAAAAAAGATCAGCCTCATCAAAACGCTTACACATAGGGCACTGATGATTTGTTCCAAGTCTAAACTCGACTCGAAACTTGAAAAACTACCTATGATCTTTCTAGAGAACGGCTATCCAGAGGATGTTATTTCAGTTTACATTAAGGAGAAGAGGAAATTTCTCGGCTGACGTAAAATGCTCGTGTTTCTGATTGGCCTATTTCGATCCACAACTGGGTATATATATTTCCTAGCGTCCATGTTCTGACGTTTAAAACTCTGAAGAGTGTCGGACGAAAAGCTTTAGTTTATTAATTGTTTGCTTTTTTCAAAGTCATTATTTCCCTGTCTATATTTCCTGTCAGTTTAGAGTATCCGAGTCCTTTAAAAGTCTTGTAATCCAGTCATGTCATTCTATTTGCCTCCAATGAATTTTGGATAACTCTTGAAAAGTTGATTGGCAAGGCAAGGTGAAAAATGGCAAGGTCAGGGGACCCTGGGGGCTGAGCCCCTTGTTATTGCTAACTTATAATCCCCCATTTACTTCTGCTATAGTTTTGGGCAAATTTCTCTCTTTTATTATTTTGACAGCACTATACCAATTTGTGTGATATATAGACTCACTTGTATGATATTTGATTACTCGCGATTAGCTGTTTATTGCTCACGATTCAAAACTTATTACTTGCGATTAAGTCTTCTCTGAAAAACCTAAAAAACGTGCGTCCAAAGTCTAAACGAGGCTAAACTAAAAGGTTCAAATCGACCTTATTCGTCACGTGATTCCTAAAAAGACGATCAAAGAGTTTCACCTCTGATCAATGCCGCCATTCCTTACCAATCCTCTTCTATTGACTATTATCATACTGTAATCCGTGTGTATTGTATTGTCCAGCTTTTATTACTTCCAGCACCTCAAAAATAATGTTTTGCAAATAATTTCCAATACCACACAGAAGTTCACACGGAGAAACCAACTAATTTTGACCCGCACGATTTTACCTGCGTTTTGTTAACCTACAGGACCTATGTTTTACACCAGCCAGAACTGGAAGGGAACCTGGCTTTAAAACAAGTATCGGGAAACTTTTATATTATCTTGGTAAAGAGAACACTAAATTGCAAATTGCAATTTATTTCATTAAAATTTACATCTAATGACGCTTCATAATATTTAAGCAATATATCAGGGTTGCTAATATCAACCAGAATTTCATTCTCGCTCTTTTCACTACACTCTTTTCTCTAAATTTTCTTCCTCTTTTGATTCGATTCAGGCTGATCCCTATAAGTTCCACGAATGTTCATATCACAGAATATATATCATACGGCGTGAATATGACGGACCTTGACTTAACTGCGCATGTATATATGATGCAAAATTTTGAAAAGTTAACGATCTTGCAGACAAATGCTCTTTGTCTCTCTAACAATCACAGACAGTGTGAATACTGTTCCTATTACGCATGTGCCATGTCCCTGCAACACTGATTGGTTTAAGACGGTATTGTTCCGAAACAAAGGACTAAAGGTTCGTCTCCCGAACAAGTATCGAATTACTTTTCATTCGCAATTGGACATGTTGCCTGTAAGTGCAAAACTTTTAATTTGATTCGAGCACTGCTTTCTTCTCCAAGCCTTTCTTTTTCGATATTAGGTTACACATTGTGGTATTTTGTACAAGCTAAGAACAACTTGCCAGAATTCTACAATTTACCAAAGAACAACACCCAACCATAAGCGAAAAACACCTTTGAAAACAAACACGCCGCAATGTGATTTCGAAAAAAAACTTATGTAATTGCATGCGACAGCATGCCTCCTAATCTTGACAAAGTTTGAGATTTTATTGCAACGTCAGCAAAATTTTCATTGTCTTTTGGGAACAGGATCCCTATGGCAACCGTGATTTTAGTGATCATCGCATTTTGATTTATAATTTTTCTTGTGTCATACACTTCGCTGCGAAATGTAAGTGGTTGACTCTATGGGTTGAATGTGAGTGACTCACACACTTTGTGCGACTCCTGAGGTATGACATTTTAAAGCAATGAGTCGTACATCACTGATTAAGGAGGCAGTGAAGCCTATCTATTTCCGCATTGCACGGCAAGAAGTGACTCAGTGTATGGCGTTCTATTGCATCTCGCTTTTTGGCTGGTTATTTCGTGCGTTTTTTGGTGTAAGGATTGACAGACTGATAGGAAAAGGCAGTCTTTTAAGAGGGTTGGAAGTAAAGGGATGCCGCCAGTATTTCTACGGATATAAGTGGTGATGAATCAATTTTACTTCACCGGTTTGTTTACAATTAGGCCTATCCTTGTTTACATTTTGGGTTCTTCAATATTGGCACTTTTCTGTAAAATTCATAAATTTTTCCTCAAATTTTATCCCTTTCGTACTTTCTAGATTCCTTCTAGTTTTCTTAACCGATGACTTGCACGGTGATCACTTGATACACCTCGTCAAAAATATCTGCTTCAAATATTTGACTGTTTGTTTGCGAAGGTCCACCAAAAGAAGATTAAAAAACAAGTCATAAATAAAAAGAAACCAAATATTCGCCATCAGATCAATAAACTCATCTTGTTTAAAAATGTTTAGGGACTGCAAAAAAACTGTAGATGCTCAAAAACGACGATCGGTACCATCACTATTAGTGCCAAGAATTATGCATTACCTTCCCATTTTCCTTGAAATTCAATTATTCACGTTCGTAGGTGTTTCATATTTTACAGTTCGTAGGTGTTTCATATTTTACAGTTTTATCACTTAAAACTTAATTTTCGCCTGAATTCTTTGCTTAATTTCGCACGTTTCATTAAATTGTTTGTACAGCACCTCTCCGTTCTTGCCGTACAAATGATATTTCTCCCGGCTTCACTTCCTGTGTTCAAGGCTGCTTCGAGTTGACTGACGCGATTGCGATGGTCTGGCCCAGGTAAAATTATGAATAGATGCAGAAATTTTAGTTTATGAAGTAGCAACTATCTCTTGAGGAGAATAGTAGAAAACAGCTAGGCCCATTTGTCATGGTTTTATTGCCATTTCTTTATTTGATATCTCGGAAAACTTCCTGAACCTAGTCTTCTGCTTGTGCATGTGGCGAAAATTTTTTTTCATATGACGCACCTAGCCTTCTGTATAAAGCATGAGAATTTTGAAAGCTTCTGTTCTATAACAGACAAAAATTCCTAAAATCCTCAAAATATACTTTGTCTCTACACCTGGAGTTTGGCAGCTTTGATAAAAACCTATTCGTAATGATGGCAAAAACGGGAGCTCATTTGATGTTGCTAATACTTTTTCAATATGAGTTGTGTTACTAAGCTGTTTTGTTCTGTTATTGTTGATATCCTGGTGATTATCAAGTACTTCTTGCGTTTGTCTTTGTCCATTTCTGTGTACCGCCATCATACAACTTTACTTTGGCATTTTTCCTTTCCTCAAGCTCATGCATTTCATAACGTATCGTTACTTCTAGTTTAGTTCCTCCTAACTGCTCAGACGTTGTTACTTATTCTGTTGAAATTGAGTAGAACGTTTGCAATTACAAAGGAAAATAGACCCCAAGTTCAGAATGTATCAATAACCCACAACACTATCAATTGTTACTTTCAATTGTTAATTGTTAGGGGCTAGAAGGGAGTGTTGTGTCTCAAGTTACGGGCCTATAACACAGGCAAGCTACGGGAAACTTGGCCAGTATTAAGAAAGCATACATTTTGTTTGTACTTGGCATAGATTGCCCACTTGTGACACGGAATTTTTGGTTTGTCGCAGTTTTGATTGGCGTGACGATCCATTCGATTCAAGAAAAGAACTGGAAGGAAACGTGTCTTTGAAACCAGTAACGGGAAACTGGCATATCATATTGGTAAAGTGAGCACTAAATAGCATATTGCAAAACATAGGACACCCTACGGTGGAGTCTGTGCACAGGATAGACACAAAGTAAAGTCTCCGTAAGCTAACTCTACCAAACAGACGCTTCAACGCAACTTGTCGCCAAAATAACACACCTAGAGGATAGTTCATTAGTCCAAATGGAAAACAACCCTGAAATGGCAACGCACGACAGCAGCCTGCGCTTCAGGAAGGCTACAGCATCTGATTTGGAGGGAATTGCATCTATATCTGTAGGAATTAATGAGAAATCAGATTCTCTTGTGTATCTCTTTCCAAAATGGCTAAACGATGAGAGACGGTACCTCTTTATCGCAGAAACCGCATGTGGACAGCTGGTTGGGTTTACGTCAATTAATATCACTGACAATGGAAGAAGTGCTATCATTAGATTCTCTAGGGTTGACATCGCATATCGAGGAAGAGGAGTGTACAGAAGTTTGCTTGATTTTACATTGAGAGCAATCAGAGAGTTGCTTCCAAATCTCAACAATATCTTGCGATACAGGCCTAAGATAGTAGATAATTATGACTGTTTGGCCAAGGTTACCAAATTGACATTGGTGTGTAATTTGAATACAAGAAAACATTTAGTCAGCAAAATACAAGAAGGAACACAATTCACAACATGGCAAGAGTTTCAGGATCTGTACAGCCAAAGCCAATTGATAAGAAACATGTTTCCTTCTGACTACCTTCGAGTAAACGCTGAGTTGTTCAACCTCAGCATAAGCATGAACTGGGAGTATCTGAAAACCAGGGATGATCTTTTACTTTTATTGACAAGAAGGCAAAGTGACACTGGGTACAAATTAGCAGCATTCTCGGTGTGGGACACTGCCATTAGAACTACAAATCAAGGAGAAAAATACTTTGGTGTGGATATCTATGGGTCTGACCCAGAAGCGATCTTGGGCCATGTTCTTCGAGGGATGCAGGTGGTTTTTGACAAAATTGGTGGAACTTTCAATGTTGGTTTCTGGGTGGCAGAAGAGAATGTCAACTACTGTCTTGAATTGTTCCAAAAGTTTCAATTTTGTGAAATTGTACAAAAGGTTCCTTTACTTTTTTTGAAAAGGGACCTGGTGTTGCAAGCAAATGTCTGAATCGGCGAAACTCTGTCCGTTTTATTCACTAATGAATATGGGTAATCACTAATGAATAAGGGTAATCACAATGGGGTGAGAGGATACTAATAACATATTGTTGGTTTTACATTTAGGGGACAGTTTGCATTTTGTCATTTTCTTACGTTTTTTTGTTTATTCTGAATTGCTTGATTTATAATCTTGCAAAATTTTGATAACCTACAATTACATGACAAAGGAAACCAAAACCTAAATACCGTAAATCCCGAAATTGACCCCCTCCATTCATATAAGCCGAAAACTTGAGTAACCCCCAACCTTGGAGTAAAAATTGAGTCCCCACTCTTGATAAGGTCCCCATTCCTAGCAAGCCAAATCTTAACTTTTTATAAGCCCCATGGCGGCTCATTCAAGATAGGACAGAAAATACACCATTTTAGTCCATGAATAAAAAATACTTCATTATGAAAGACATTTAATAGTTTTGTACCAAAGATGTTTTTGAGGCTCGATTTATTTCTTAGATTTATTTATTATTTTAGAAAGTTTTTTATTAAAATTGCAAATGAGATGAACTTGAAAATTGTGAAAAAGCTACAAAACGAGTTACTGATGTGGCAACTTGGGAATGATTTTTACAGTCCCCCTCGTGTAACCTCCCTCCCCCTCGAAGAAAGCCCAGATCAAGATTTTCCTAAAAAAACACGGTACAAATATATGTGCATTCAATCTAGATTCAATCAACAATTAAATTAGAAAAAAATTGGGAAATCAAATTCTGGCTCAATATGGGAGTTTTTGTGTAATTTTATGTATCTCTTTATGTTAAAAACATAGTACGTAGTTTTCTTTTAAAGATGATAGAATGGAACTTTACCCCCGAGTGTCACATGTAAGGCGTGACATGCCACGAAAATATAAGGGCATAATTTGTTATAGTCGTTGGGATATATGCGAGTGCACCAGTAGGAAAATGGTCCTGGTGTCCTCTCCATTGCATTGTTTCATTATTCTTAATCATTTTCTGTTTGATAATTAAATAAAGACTTGATAATTGATAATTAAATAATTAAAAAAATAAGTTTGATAATTGAAAAAATCAACATCTCTGTCGAACCCAACTGAAGTTCACAACAAAAGACTTTGCCCGAGCGTGTCACCCGTTTATATTTTTCTCGTCTTTCTCGGTATGTTTTCCCAAATCCTGTTCTCCTATCATTTAAAAGAATTTAAAGGAGTTGTTGTTTTGATTTTTTGGGAAGAGAACTCTAGGTTGTTGTTCCTATGTAGGCTACACGGTTTTGACCATGCTTGGTATTAAGTTCTTGTGAACTTATATTTAGGTATGAATTGCGTAGAATTCCATTGTTCATCTACGAATCTATTGCAAAAATGCACTATCAATAAGCAAGCGTTTATTTTTTCAAAGTTTTATAAATGAAGCTTGCAGTCTTGTGATGAATCATTTACTTAATACTGAATTTACAAGATTTACGTTGCTCTATCTTGTAGGTTTTCGAAGAATATAAATGAAATTTCCCAAAGCTAGCCCATATGAAGCAGTAGTGCTGGATGTGGTTTAAAGGGACCTATATAAAAATATTTTATGATACTGTCCGATAGGAGCTTCTTGGCATATTTAACTTTGGTCACTGTATAAACATTCTTTCTCCATTTTGATTGTTTATCTATTATTTCTCCAAAGTGCAATTTTATTTCTGTAAAATTGGTTTATTGGAAATTTAAAAATCCACCTGGACACTTTGTACAGCGTTGTATCCAACACCCTCTTAAAACCTCTTATTCACGCAGAAAAACATGTATATTACGCCAAAGACCTTTGGCGTACAACAACGCAATTTTGAGCATAGTTATGAAACCCCCTTAAAAAATTCAATCTCAAAAACAAGGAGTTCTTTTCCATCTAGGGCTGCTTTGTCGGGAAATTTTCAAACCTGTCGGCAAATAAAGGATGGCTCATCCAGCCTAAAAGTTTTGGAAAAATTAAGAACAACCAGCCTAAATTTAAACTTACTGGTTCTCATAAAAAGAGTGTATTAGTTGCTCTATTTTGATAAGTTGTCGGAGGAAATTGGTTGTCTTTTTTCGCGCGCTGACGCCTGAAACATGAGTACGAAATCAGCTTCAGAAACGAAGAAGGGCTTTAAAATGGCTTGGCCTAAATTGACATTACCTGTTTTGGTTATCTACTCTAAACTTTAGGGCACTGGGCTCGAAAACTGCAATGTTTTTTCTCCATGTGCTAGACAATATGGGGGCCAACATGTGAATTTGGGGAAACACCCATTTCGTAAATCTGTTTGAAAAAGCCATGGCATTTCTACGTGGCAATTTCCCTTTATTCTACGTCATAGGTGGCTGACCATATTCTAGAACTGTCTATTTCCTTCACAATTCCACTAACGTTCATATCCTGAATTTTGTAAGGCGAGGAATCTCTACGCGTAAGAAGTGTTTTTCCAAAGTTGTAATCAAATATCTAAAATCCAGTCCACCAAAGTCCACCACAAGCATGTCAGAATCCAATTTTTTAAAGATTGGACTGCTTAAGCATTTTAGTTTCTATTTTATCAGGAATACCTCAAGAACGCGAAAGACTTTTCTATACAAACCCCAAAACGAGAGGAAATTACTGAACATTGAGGCAGAAAATTTTTGCGACGATGCCTTTGAGATTAGCTTAAAATACATTTAAAAATATCCTCCCCCCCCCCCCTTCGCTACTGATAAGAAGATAAATACTGATAAAAAGTGAATAAAGTAAAATCTTGACGTTACTTTGTTACTACTGACTACCAACAAATGATTTTTACCGAATGAAACAAAATTTACCGACAGACACAGAACTGTTAGTGGGGGGGGGGGTTCACACCCCCTACACCCGCCCGCTAAATTCGTTCCTGAACAGGGATTGCTTTTGTCACTATTTTGTCATCTTTCTACCGGCAATTCCCCCACCACTGAGTATGTTAAAAAATGCTCTGACAGAAATCAAAGGTAACATTACATTATAGCCATCATAAAGTAAAATCATGCTGTCATAAACAAAGTTTTTAATGAATTTTTTCTTGAGGGGTTCTCTTTTCGTTTCAAGACTTTATTAATGCCAATGAAAACATTTCAATCATAAGCACATTTTGCACAATAACGTTTTTGAAAAGCACTTCTTGTCCTTTTCCATCAAGTATTTTTCAATTGCATTGTTCACCGCATAGCTTGCGACAAACAAATGGTTTAGAGAGAACCATCAATTAACTAACTATTCACATTAAACTTTCTAAAGTTTTTTCTTTTTTCTATGTGAATTAGATAGGAAGAAATATTCAACAACAGGCAGTATTTGCGCATAAAGTTTCTTACAAGGCACAAATTGCCGAGAAAATCTTGCTATACATGGACTCCGACACAGGTTGGAAAGTGGGGGGGAGGGCAAGGGAAAATTTTGCACCCACAACAAAAGATTTTGGAAAAATGCTCCATTGCTTTGTAAAGAAGTAGGGGCCATGACCCCTCGGTACCCCTTCGTTGGAGGCCCTGTTATATGGGGCACATCGCTTAAAGATGTTCTATTCCATTTTTTCTGTCGGCAATTTGATACTTCCAGCGTCGGCAGTTACGGAGAATATAAACGTCGGCACCTTTAAGGTTTCTTTCTATGCGAGCAATGAATATTTGACGAACCATAGTTTCTATAGACTATGGACAAACCTAGCTGAATCTCGAGGAAGACACTCGGAGACAGAAGCAGAAAGGGCAAACTCACAAACTGTAAAATCTGGATTCATAGCTGTGCAAAATTGGGTTCGTCAACATCATTGTACATATTCAATGACATTAATGACTTATGCAAGGGGACATGCGGGGAACTATAGCCATCACTTTCAAAATGAATTTCACTCGGGGCTACCAAAAAGTACAAAGATATTGGGGAAAGCGGTGATGAGTGTAGGCAGATCCACTATTTTTCACCATCATTGATATTTTTTCTATTGCAGTGTACGCCAAAATCTGTTTGGCTCCATATCATTCAAAAGGGCTTCCTTATTCCCAAGATTATATATGGCATCAGAGAGCATAATTTTTCCTAAAGGCTCACCCCTTGACCTCTGCACCTGCGCAGGAGCAGCATACGCTCCGGAATTGCTTAAATCTGTATAAATAGTTCTTACTTGAAATAAATGTCATTCCATCTGTAGTACACATTTTCCCATCTTTGATGAATATCATCTGTCCTGCCTTCGAGCAGACCTCGATGGATAGAGTCTTCGGTAAACATCATCTGCCTAAAAGCCACAGTCTTTTAAGCATTTTATACTTATGTTGTGCCAAACAGCTCAGATAATTTTCACTTGTTGAACCTTGAAACGATGCACAATCTTTTGGTTGTGTTTGACCAGCTGAGCAGTGGATCTACATAAAGGAAACGACTGTTTTTAATTCATTTGCAGCTAAGTAAACTAACATTTCAGTGGTATTATCATTGCTTGTACATTTTCATGGCCTAATTGCTATATTTTTTACAACAGAAGGATCAAAAAGGGCTGATGTTCCTTACAGATATAGAGGGAAATCATCTTTCAATATAATCACCATTTTCATTCATTCATTATTTGAGCTTTATCTACATATAAGCTTGGAATTTCTCAATCTTGTCGTGTAGTAGCTGTCTCTAATTTCTAATTTCCGAAGACACTATTTCAAAGACAATCTTTCAAAATTTGTAAAGCCATACGCAAGTCTGAAGGGTGCAAACTTAGCAAGGTTGAAGTTAAATTCCCCTCTTCCTCCTTTAAATTCTTCTTTAAAAAATTCCCCACATGCAATTTATTATTTAGCTCCTCTTTGTATGTCTATCGTATTTAGTTTTCTGTAAAATTGTATTAATTTTTTATTTTGTTTTGTAAAATTATGTACTCAATCTATGTAGTTTAGTTATATGTATATACTGTAGAATTTTAAATTGTATGTGGAGAATTTGAATTATATATGAACCCCTCTCGGAAATTTCTGATACTGTGCTATAAGCGAGTTCCTAAAATAATTAAACTGGTGGTATCATTCTTTGAATAAACGTCATACCTCTGTAGATACCTTCCTTTTTAAAACTTCAGAAGCCACCATAAAATTGGACATGCCCTATTGTTACAAACTTAAAAATTGTAGCTCGTTTTACGGCTTTCACAGAACTAAAATCGCGTCGCACCCATTTTCGCACCGGACGTCACGGATAAAACGTCATTGCCCATTAACGTCATTATGAATTTAATCAATTTTTTTAATAAGGAAATTTCATCAGTTTAGCTATAATTTTGGCCACGCAAACAAAAAAGAAAATGAACAATGCAAATAAAGTATTTTCAGTACTTGTGCACTCTTTGGGATGAAAAATTAAAGCGAAAATTAAAATGACTTGATAATACTTTATAATAGACTAAAATTACAATAATTGGGTTCTTTTATTTTCTTTGCTGCCTTTGACTCTCACAACAAGCTTGACAAAAACTTGCACCTAAAAAGCTACTACTTTGCATCCCTATATCTATCAAAATTCAATATTTTTAGGTTGTACGTTTTGGATTATATTACGGTTTGAGGTTCATTTTAAACAAATGAATTCTATGCTTAATGTAACAAAAGAATTTCTGTCAGTAAAATATGGTTTTTGCATCTCTCAAATCCCCCAGCGAGAAAGGCCACGCTACGCCACGATCTACAGTGAATAAAAAATGCAGGTAATCGGACATTTTGTCGATCAAAAGTTAGAATATTACAAATATATTTGCTTGTCAGAAAGCTGATCATATCAAATGAGAACACATCAGTAGATACAAGACATACGGGCATCGATCTAACGATTTTCCTTTTGCAAAAAACATAAGAAAAATATTAGAAAAGACAGTCTCTCTATTGAAAAATCTACTCTGAATGAATCCAATAGCCAACTCAAAAAATAAACACACGAGCTGCAGCTCAAAATTCAGCCCTAAGACATGATTTAAACACGTTGTGCGCTATTTTCGAAACATCATTGTACATGCAATGAGGTGGCACCAATGTGGGAAAGGAATTTGTTGAAATGTTGTTTGCAGGCTGGGCCAATAAGGAACTTTCTATGGCAAAGGGCTTTGAAAGTATTTCTAGAATTGTCTCCTGACCCTGTTTAGCATACTTTTTAACTGAACCTGTATGTGGTTCTGTTGAATTCAAAATAACTATTGAGCCCATCTTGCAAAATCTGCTATATTTATAAGGCGGTAAACAAATAAACTGCCTTTTTCTAAAAATTTCTATATCAAACGGGCTTTGGAATGTTTAAATGGTTACTCAAGTTAATAAGAAAGCAATTTATGGCAAACTATCTCTTACTTTAGCCTCAAATCCTAGGGAATCTTAATTGTTTCCTCGTATAGTCATTTATTCCATAACTTTTAGTGCATGAGACGATTCTACAAAAAATAAATCAAAAAACATCAAAAAATAAAAACGATTCTACAAGACCAAACAGTTTTAACTGACATCAGCTACTGATTCATGCTACAATTATGATATCGTCCATACTTTATAAGAGAGTCTCTCGTATGAGTGACGCTTAAGGTTAACGAATGTAACTTGAATATAGCTGAGGGGTAGAAGACTCTTCCTTGTCGACAAACTCCACCTGATTGGAAGCTCCTGCTATGTCTTGGGGCAGCGTAACCCCACCACATTAGTTCATGTCCTTTCATCGCTTGCTTCTGGCATTTGACGATTTTTGGCTTCCACTATACATCGGATCATCAGAAGGACCAGGCAATGATGGCAACCTGACTTTCCCGCGCATGTTTGATATTGCAGACGTATACTGGCTTGTGGCAGACAAGGCGTGCTTTGGTGGATACAACAAACTCAATATGTCGAACCCTAGAGCGAAACCAGTATAGAACGTTTCATTAGGGGCACTTCATTTGAATGGCAACAGTTTAAGAAGCCTCTCAACCTTGGAAATTGACTAAAACGGTGGTCAAAATTTATATGGCAAGTCTGTAATAGTAAATTAAGTTTAAAAAAGACAGGATGCGTCATACTAGCCACAAGCAGTTGGAATCTGTTTTTAAGGTAGCTATTCATGTTATTATGCTATGCATGTTTTTAAGGTGGCTATTCTGTTATAATTTGATATTATTCGATTTTCAATTTTGCTAGGCTATCTCAGTATATAAAACCTTACCAAAGAGGAACGGCCCATCGTGATACGTGACAGGAACTGTTTGCTTTATAGTCTCATCTTTGCACCCCCTGAAACAAACACATATAACTGTAAAGATATATACCCAAAAAGCAGAAAACCTATGGTAATGTGTAGAGCTGCATCGCCAGTATCTTCACTGACGGGTGCAAAGGATTTAGTTGTGGATGATGCTGTATTCAAATCTGATCATTCTAATCTTATAAGCATTTACCGCATAAAAGGCGTCTTACAAAAACCACTTTCCAAAATAGACTTGAATATTCTTTTTAACGCTTTTGAGTGGAAGATCTTTGACTTTCAGCATATTTGTTCTGATTCCATTTCCCTTTATCGTCAGGTTTTAAGATTGGAAAAGGGTGTAGGCCTCGTCTAATGCCCTAATCCATCCTGCCCGATTAATTGACGGGAGCAAGCGACAAGAAGCAAACAGAACCTAAAATATATTTTAAAAATATCTTCTAATGCATTGAAAAGTAAAAAGGCAAGCGACAAGAAGCAAACAGAACCTAAAATATATTTTAAAAATATCTTCTAATGCATTGAAAAGTAAAAAGAGAATCGTTTTATCAGTTCAAACCTGGTTACAAGATAAATCGTTTTTCTATCCTATCAGTCATTCCAAGTTTCAAATCTATCTTTTTCAAGGCTTTTGTTTAGTATATTTCTTTTGAGGCCTTGTCTTGTTTTTCTTGCAGTGTTTATGCTTGTATATTACCATAAAACAAGGGTATGACCACAAGCTATAAACCTCGATATGAACATGTCCCATGAAGCAAGACTTACATGAAGAACTTTTTGTACAGAAGGTAAGGCAGTCCCGTTACCATGCAAAATGGAAAGCAAAGACACCAAAGAGCGGTCTGACATTTGTTTTTGCATGCAAAGAAATGATCAGCACATCGTGGCTTCACCAAACCATGTGCAATGATGATGTCACAATTCCAAACGTTGGTTTCACCCATTATCTGTAATCCTTCCATTGTTAGCATCGTATCAACGTAATTTCGGATGGAATCGCTAATAGCAATCTGCAAAACAAAGAGTCTCTTTCATGAGAGTTTGAAGAGAGTAAGGCCAAGGGGCTCAAAATCATTTGAATATCTTCTGAAACTGCCAATACCGTAAATCCTCCAATTCCTTCGAAAAATTCCTGCGATACAATATTCGCAATCACAGAAAAGTTTACAATTTTGCAGCTATGATAAACAAACTTCTTAAGTTTTAATCTTGTAACCAAAACATGAATCTTGTAAGCAAAACATAACTGATACAATTGTATGATACTGCTATGCTATCAATAACATTACACTACTCTTGATATCACTGGAATATGAAGCAAGGAAGTCGGCATTTGAATCGCTTCTATTATGAGAACTAAAATAGGGTAATGGTGGGTGTTTTCTCACAATCCTATTGCGGGCCTCTCAAAAACCATGCCTCGCAAAAAGATTGCATCATTCATACCGTAATCCTGAAATTCTTCCTTTCCTTCAAGAAATCTTCTGCCTTTTGAAAAGCCTGCTCGAACTGCTCCTTAACAAGCGGATGTGACGTATTAATGAGAACGACGTAATCTACCGTCTTTAGAGACACTGACGGCTCTGAGTCGGCCTTTCCGTTTACTCTGCTGATCGTCTGGTGGCAATGTGCCGTTGTCAAAATTGGTTTCTTTGATATAAGTTTACGAATGGTTTGAACTTCAGTGCAATCATTCACCTTAGGAAAAAACACATAAACATAATCAAATTAATGAAATTTTGATCTTGCTTATATTTCATTTATATTACGGCTGACATCATCAATTTCAATATTTCATTTCAGTTTTGTTTTAGGAGGTCAGTTTGAATAATATATTTTATCAAACTTAACCTTTAGAAATATCTAATAATGAAGTGGAACGAAAAAATGGAATAATTCAGTAATGCAAACGGTGACACAATCCTCGTTTTAAGACATTCGTGAATATTTCTTAGCATATGCAAAATTGTTCCTTAGCCACCGGGAAATATTCTTGCTTTGAAGCAATATATGCAGATATTGTCCTATCCTATTCCCAAATTTTATAATTGGTAGTTCTCAACAAATTGGCAAATTTTACAAAAAAAATTCTATAATCATAAATTAAAATAGGCTTAATTATAAATCCTGCTTCAAGTTTGTTGGAAAAACTCATGGAAGAATCATACCTCGATTATGACATCTCTTCCTTCAAATTTGCTGTCTCGGACCAAGACAATTACAGAGCTGTCTTGACAGGTCATTTTGCCCGTATGTTCCGCCGTCAGAAAACCAAAAGGCGGACTCACGCAAAAGTCATCTTTGTGCTCCAGAGAGATGGCACACATATCCTCTAAACTTGCATCGGAAATTGGTATATGCACAGACATGTTTACCAAGGAATCTGTATGAAAATAACGCATGTAAAGTAAATACATATAGTGTGATGAAGTAGCCTCAATATTGTCTTGGTTCACTTAGGCTACATCTTACGAGTCGTCGTGTGTTCAGACGCATTGAGGCAGAGTTCATAAAGAGTTGAAAAACTGCAGATATCTTGAATCAACTTGGCTGAAAACATCATGCAAGAAAACTGTATCTTTATCGTTTCTATAGTAAGGTTTGCAGCCCAGAAAAGATTTTACAGTCCATAGATACTCTATCTATTGGAAATCTGTGCAGTTTGATAAAGCAGTTTGCTTAACATTTAGATGAAACACCGAACAAGCCACGTCAAGTGACAAACGACCACCTCCCCACCTCCCCCATTTGCATATTTAGTACAAACGTCCTGTAAATTAGCCTACGTCACTCGACCGTCTGTGACGCAGCTACGTGAATACTCACTCAATCGAATTTGTAATTGAACTCTATTGGTCAGATTTCGTAGATTGCATTTTCAACGTTACAGACAATCAAATCAGTTACTCTAAGCATTAGCAGCATCAGATGCAAATCCAGACAAATTCCTTTTGAAGCTGAATTATAACTTTTAAGCTAGAAACTAGTGTTCATCTGTTGCTTACCACGATCAATCCTGCCTTGTTGATAAAGATTTCTGCCTAAAATCCTCGCACAAAAATCTTTAAATAGAACCAATTAAGGATTGTAATCTGATCGTTTGATCTTGATCATTGGATCGTTTACGATCTAATCAAGACTTGATCCTGAGCAAAATCATGTGCTGCAAGTAATACTGCCCAGTAAGCCAAGGGATGGGCGAATTAGCAAAGAGACTGTATCAAATAGTGTTTCTCAAAACACAAATGCACATCATAGATTAGACAGATTATTACTGAGGGTTTATGAGGCGATTTTCTCAAATCTATTGAGTATCGTTATTCAAAGGGATTCACCATAGACACGGGCTAACACAAATCTTAAACATGTTAACGATTTTGCAAAAGCTAGAAAATGAGACAAGCAAAATATAGAAAATTGCCTTCCTTTTTTCCAAAGAGCGTAATGAACTGAAAAAACAATGAAATTGCGAGGTAGTGAATTGGTGTTTTGACACTATAACGTACAGAGCAAGAATTGTAACGATTCCCCCAATTGTTGACTCGTTAAGCTTCGCAGATCAGTGAAAGACATACATCAGGACAAACTTTGAGTTGACATGTATTAGAACCAAATTCACATTCCTGGTCAAGATTTACCTGGCAAATGGTCGAAAAGACGAGTAAAGCCCCAAAACCCTCCAAATACCTGTTTTCGCATTATTTTCAGGGATTCTTGCTCTTTTGAGGTTTTTGAACGTATTTGTCATCCCCTTTTTCTGCCCTTTTGTGGAAACAAAAAAGGCATATCGTTCACATTGATTGCAAATCCGAAAACGTTCATTTCAGGATAGCAGCTTAAATTCTTCGATAATGCACACTGAAAAGCTAGCTGTTAGTAAAGCAAAAAACACTTGAACTAGGAAAAGAACCAGCGTTTACATAGAGGCACTGCATTTAATAACATGGTTCTTTTTTGAGGGATCAATGTTGGCGCAAACTTAATATAATAAGGAAAAGTAACAATAGAATAAAAAACAAGCCCACGGAAAAGAGTTAACACTTGGTGCGTAAAAGGGTTGCAAAAACTGAGATAGGGCAAGCGATGACGCGAAAGAATACCTGATCAGTTTGATAGAAACTGTCTTACACAATTATGAACTGTAAGCATAGTTATACGTCATCGACAATTTCTTAGGTTCACATCGTTTTACTAGAGGAGTCGAGCCATTTTGATGCCGCAACGCAAATCTATATCCACAAGATAAACTCCAATGGAGAAATTACAACTCTTACAGCCAAAAAGGAGTTTCGTATAGGGACTTGGCTTTTTCGTCAGTAAAAAGTATTTTCGTGAGGTATGAAAGTGAAAAACCATCGCAAAAACCTATAGAAAATCGAAACCAATGAAAAAATGATCTAATAAAAGGAAACATGTTTACCGGATATCTTGTATATGTAAAGACTTGAGATCTTGAACGCAGCTTAATGATACTTGTTCGATTCACAAAATACCACTCAAATATCAACAGTTGTTTGGATAATCAGCTATTGATGTGCAATAATCCAAAAGTCCATGCAAATCTTCTATGTAATTCCCTGCAACAGCATTCTTGAATGAACAGACTATGATGTGGTATCGTTGAATTGCATCACTTCTCTTCGTAGACCGCTCAGCTCGACCCCGAATCCGATTGCTGATAAGTGGTCCGTAACAAATGTGCTCCTGCAAAGAGTAACCTCGCAACGCAAATACTCATAATAAAGGCTTAGCTCGAAAATCAGTTTCATTTTCTGTTTGGAATCTCCAATCAAGCAGTTCCTCTCAACGTTTCAGAAAGTTTTATCTCACATAAAAGCCACTTTGGAAGGATAACTTCTTATATGCCAGGCAAAGCTACTAAGGCAAAAAAATACGAATTCTGCCTTGTTAAGTAACGAAAGAATGTCATAAAGAGCTGTCCCTTTTTAAACAACAAATTTCAGGAAATTTCAAGTAACTTAATAACCTGTATAGATTTAATACTCTTTTTATGCAGGTTATAGCAAGAAATTGGTAAAAAATAACACGGGAAGGGTTTGAGCCTTAAAAGAAAAGTAGCAGCAGAAACTTGAAAGGTAGGAAAACTTTTTGCACATCGTAGAAATGCCCGGAGGTTATCTGTCGCCAGTCTAGAGAAAAACAACCATTGTTATAGAGGCATCTTAGGTGCATTTGCTGTTTCCTGCTTTATTGAATAAGAATGTTTAGGTGATAATGTTAGCCAAAGATAGCAATGAAACTTGAAAGCTTTATTTTATGGGTCATTTCTAAGTCCCTGCAAATTTAAGAGAAACTCTAATAATCGAATTCTTCATTTTTTGTGATTATTTGATTCAAAAAACTTAGAATTATAACAACAATTAACAACGTCTATTGCATTTTGACAAATAGTACTATCTCCGTTTTTTGAGAAGGCTTTGTATCTCTTCACTTCCAATAAAACTTGCAGTTGTTTCTTCGTTACGGCGTTTCACACTGATAGTCTTGGTTTTTTGAAGACTTGCAAAATCAGTCTGAAGTTCCTTAAAGTTTCTATGTTCAGGGAATGTGGGCATCAAGCCAGGATCTACCGGCAAGGGCTTTTCTTTGAAGTAGGAGCTTTTCATTGATGTTTTTGCAGGTATTCTTCTCTTTGGGTCGTAAGTGAACATCTGCTGAAGGAGTGTAATTCCAGGGTCAGACAGCCAAGTAAATTTATGCCTTAGATTATTGTATGGCTGATGCTTGAAAGTGAAGTTTTTAGGGCCTGGTAACTCTGAAAATCCTGGCCATATTTTATCATTTGGCGTTCCAAGCAAATCAATGATCAATTGGAGCTGATTAAGTTCTGACTTTCCAGGAAGCAAAGGCTTGTGTGACAAAAGCTCACCAAATATACAGCCAACAGCCCACATGTCTATTGCAGGTGTCTGGATTCTGGAACCAAGAAGGAGCTCAGGTGCACGGTACCATAGTGTTACAACAACTGGAGTCATCTGTTTAGAAGGGTAGCCAAATTTTCTAGCTAGTCCAAAATCAGCTGAAATCAAATAAATATGGTGCAGTAAATATCATGATACAAACTGTGAAACAAGCCTCTTTCAAAAAAAAATTAAATTTGTGAAACCATGTTTGAATGGTGTTCTAGCACAGTATCAACTGCTAAGTTTTTCGAAATGAGTAGATTTTAAATGCTGACAGCTTTCAAGAGGACTTGCAAGCTTTCAAGTGCTGTCAATGGAAGACTTCAAGGATCCCTGCCTGCTCCCCCTGTACTCTCAACTTAAAGGGTCAACTGAAACACAAGCTGGCCCTTTTACCACACAAATATGCAATCCAGAAAAACAGGTTTCCCCACCCATTGAGGTTTTTGCCATACATCACAATAGCTAATTATACTTCAGCCTCACCATAACTAAATTTTAAAAGTCCAAGCATTGATTCCAACTTTTTTGTGCCATCTACAAATTTTGCAGGACCGAAAATTAATTTTTTCATAAATTGTGCTTTTTATATATATAACAAACAAAAATAGGATATAAAAAAGTATTTAGATTGAGTGATTAAAGCATCTGAAAGGCCTGCCAAGTAGTTTGTAAAAAACCAAGCAACCTCTCCCAATTTCTAGGGTCTTGCCATAAGAATTTTTGCTTAGCCCCCAGCCCTTTGACCAGAGAAACAGCAGAATTGACCACATAATGGACTTCCTCGCAGTCTGCATAGTATGGCATTTCTCGACAAGATATAGCGATGCAAAACTCATTCATGCCATATTTTCCCCAATCAAACCTCTTTACTTTTCATTGCAAATTTCTTTGAATGCACTTAGTAAATTTTGTGTGCAATAAGAATATTGCGTGGGCAGTTGTCATACTCTGCAGACTGGGACTTCCTTAAGCTTTAGTCTAGGAGTTTTCAGTCAAGCCTCAGGTGATTCTTGAGGCAACCAAAATTTTCTGTAAATCAAATCTAGTGTTACTCCTGACTGGAAACGTTGTTTCTTGCACAGACAAGTTCATTTTGAAAATTTGTGACTGTGCATTTGAAATCACACACTTTTAAGAAATTTGTATGTTAATAATGTAAAATGTTATTAAACTGAGACATTTTGCAGCCAACATGCAAAAGTGTGTGGATAAAGATTCGAGTGTGCAGGCAATATAGAAGTTTCCAGTTTAGGTGTTACTTACCAATTTTTAAAATTCCTTTGTTAGTCAGGAGCAAATTTGACACCTTCAGGTCTCTGTGGATTATATATCTAAAGTGCAAATGTTCTACACCTTTCAGTAGCTGCAGCATCAAACATTTAATCTGTGATTCTGAAAATGGTGTTGTCATATTGTCAAGGAGACTAGCCAGATCTTGATGGCAATATTCCATTACGAGAAAAACATTATCTAATTTCCGACCAACTGCAATCTCAAATAATTTTACGACATTCACGTCTGATATCTGTAGCAACAAGTTTATTTCTCGAAGACTACTAATAGGTAGACCATCTTTCTCTTTGTCCATTCTTACTTTTTTCAAAGCAACAATTTCTCCACTGACTGTGTCTCTTGCGCGATATACAACTCCATATGTCCCTTCGCCGATTCGATTCAATTTTTCAAACTCTGCAACACTTCTGCTGTTGCCTAATATTGCTTCTTGCGGTATCTTAGTGAAGTTGTTCACATCTTGAAACGAGTGTAGACGAATGCCATCACTTGCATCACTGGCCATGACTTCATTCCCTGTGCAGGATGAGTTCTTCGGCCATTTTTATTTTTACCCCAAAGCGAGACACGCAAGGAAAATGAGGCCAAGGCGGTATTATGGCTCCATGCTGTGGCATGAGGGCGTTTTCTAGAGAACTTTACTTGCCATATATCTTCTTTTTGGCGACTACGCGTACATTTTCATCAGCAATGAAAGCAGTAATTTTAGATGGTCCAGGAGGACCTGAAAATATGAAAATTGGTGATGCTCCAAAGCCCACAGTAAAGGACGATGACGTGCTGATAAAAGTACATGCAACTGCTTTGAACAGAGCAGATATATTGCAAAGAATGGGAAAATATCCGCCACCTAAAGGTGAATCAGAAATAATGGGACTTGAAACAAGCGGAGTTGTTGAGTTTCTTGGAAAAAATGTGCGCAAGAAGTTAAGGTAACAGTGTTTTGATAGAAATGGCATACCCCTCCACTCCAGACCCAGGAGAGTATGGCAGTTTCCAACAAGCTTGAGTGTGCAGGAGCAAATTTTTAAGTGTGAAAGTGTGCACTTTTGTATAAGTGTGCACTTTTGTATAGGTGTGCACTATTGTATAAGTGTGCACTTTTGTATAAGTGTGCACTCTTGTATAGGTGTGCATGTCAATTGTGTATATATCTTCAACAACTATGCTAAAGCCAAAAGATATCAATGAAGATAAGAAAATAAACATGATTGTTGTTTAATTTCACCTATGAAACCAATGCCGAACTTGAGGAAAAACAATTCTTGCAAAAGCTCTATTAAGCCCTGGGGAGGGGGCTTAATAGAGAGGGGGCTTATTGGAGAGGGGGGATCTTGTTTCAAAAATCAAGATTGAGGATGCAAAAATGATTTTTAATTTCCTGTACTTTTCTGGTTTTTATCTAAAAGCGAAAATGTATAACAAAACAGTGGCTGAAATCTAATTGTTAAATCATGGAATTCAATGAAGTTTTAAGTCTTTAGTCTATGAAAACAACATTTCCGCCTGAGAAAAGGCAAAAGATCTCGAGAACTGAAGCACAAAAAAAACGTACTACACTCATTCCGGTAGATCAATCATCTACCTTTGATTGAAATCCGCAAAATACCTTATCTGAGGAAATCCGCCCTGCCGTTCAAGTGTACGTTGACTACTCGAAGTGACAAGGGTTTTAGAGAAAGTCTAACCCCTGTTACAGGGGCAGGGGAGGGGGATCAGTGACAGCCCCTGTGGATCCATTGTTGCGGGCTCATTTGCATGTTAGCAATCAATAATCAAATCAGCAACATCTTCTTGCAAAACATCATCATCTGGTATTGCCTCGAAGGGATCAATGTCCCTTTCCTCTAGGCCTTGAAGACAAGCTAGTAAATCTTTACAAGGGCCATTTTTATTGACATGATCTGTTCATCTACAGATCCGTTGAGTGGTCCACTCAAAGCACAAATTTTAAAGCTCTTCTGAATAAGCTCCTCTGGTAGTTTTCTCCAGGCCTCTTGATTCCTTTAACCATTTGCTTCCTTGAAGAGGCCCTCATATTTTCCCGAGCAGTGAGTTGATGATCTTCTTCTGCAAGCCACTTGTCATATATTTCCCTTAAATGGTCCTTCATTGGCTTGTTCCAGCTGACATCAGGTGCCTGAATAAATTTTGTGCAACCTTTTGGAACAATTATTGGGTCAATGCGACCTTGATTAAGTAACGCTCTGATTTGAGGTGACAGTTGGCAACAAAACGCATCCCAAGCAAGTAGCCTTCAAGCCCCAAATGTGAATGTCCCAAGAACTTCTTTGCAATACTTCTCTGTCAACTCATCATTCATCCATCCAGATGTAGATGTAGCCATGATGCACCTTGAGCAGATCTCTTCATTCAAAGCTTTCGCTTCTTTTTTGGCTCCCTTAAAGATGAAAAATGGCCTCTATTTTGCTCCATCTGCAGTTGCAGTTAAGCAGACAGTTATCTTTGCTTTCTCATGACCGGTGGTTTTCACGTTGACCCAATGGGCACCATGTTTCTTAATAGGAGTATTGGACTTCATGTCGCTTTAGATGGCTGTTTCATCCATAACAAAGATGTTTTTTAGCTTGTAGTTAATCCTTCTGCGCAACCGGCGAACTTTCAGGATACAAGCACAAAGCTTGTCAGCCAATTGATTTGGGTTTTTCTGAGCCTCAGTTGTGCGTTTTCTGATGGAAGGACAATTCCTATTCATAAACTTTTGCACCCAGCCATCACTGTACAAGAGCATCTTACTGTCTATATCTATGGACTAATTTTCCTCCTGCAATTTTTTTGCCTTAGCTTTGATAAGCTTATGAGAAACACACAAACCATTCCCTTGTCTATCTGAGATTCATTCGAGCAAAGTCTCTTCTATTTCATTGTCCGTAATCTTTCTCCCTCCTCTGTCCAGGCGCAATCTCTGCCCTCCAGCTGTTAAACTTTTTAATAGAGAGGGGGCTTAATAGAGCTTTTACAGTCTTTCTTTGCCTTAAGCATTAGGACACACCCATGTCACAAGAATGGCAAGTGTGCACCTGAGCATGTCTTAAGTGTCCCTGCACACCTTTGGGCATTTGGGCAAGGCATGGATTTGTCCTATTTCTTAGGGCAAATGAAGAATTTAGTTTCCTCAAGAAAGCATAATCTTGCATTTGTTCGATAGATTCCAAAAAACTATCAATCATGTTCATTTCCTGATCTGCATTTTCATATGCTATCTATTTGATATCCTCTGAATATGCTCTGACATAGTTGAGCTCATTAAAGTTCACAATTGAGGTGCACACTTATATTGTATACTTGCACACTTGAAATCTTGCTCTTGCACAACCAAGATCTCATTGGAAACTACCACACTATGCAGTCTGGATCCCACTCAAGTATATGAGACAAGATGCTAACAAAGTTAGGCACATAGGTGATGGTGTTCAACTGAAAAGTGCAACACTTTTTTATAAGAACTTGGATGTAACATTCGCTCTTCAACGATTGTGTGGTGTAAATGTTAGGTCAGATTCTTTTAAAATGCAGGCAGTTTAAATTTTTTTAGTATGAATAAGTATGAAAAATTGTGTTTTTAGCTTTGTTATGAACCATCTGTACTGTGTAATCTCTTTACTAAGGAAAACAATTAAACATGTTTGCTGATATCAGTTTAGGTCCAACAGTCTGCTGATAACAGTTTAGGTCCAACTATTGTAACTTGAATTACCCCCTAACCTAAAGTGCCCTCATGAAAAACACACAAACATTCCAAGCTGCATGCACCAAAATTTATGTACTTTTTATGATCTCGGGTGCATTCCTAGAATACTTTCCTGTATGGGATTGATGTTCTTGAACTCATTTGTGGTGCCATCAGTCTTTCCAAAGAATCCCTTTCTTGTGAGTGTCTGGTCTTGTTTTTGAACAACATTGTCAATTTTCTCAAGCCTACTTCAGTCACACAAACACTACCACAATCATTTAAAACACTACCGCATATATCTAAACATTGTAAAGTCAGGGTAGTGACTTGTTTACCAAAGTCTTTGAATGGAATATATTTTGTCATTTCAGAATTGGTGACAAAGTAATGGCATTGTTAGCTGGTATGTTCTGCTTAACTAATTTTGTTTCTACTTATGCTTGCATAGTTTTCAGCTAAAGTCCTCTAGTTTTATGCCATGTTCTTTTATTAAATGGAGGGCTTGTAACCAGTTGGAATCGTTAACAAAGGTTTAAAAAGAAGTGTCCTAGACAACATAGTGATTCATATAAATGTCCTTTATCCAAATAACATTTTGTTAAATCTGTACTCATGATGGAGGTAAAACTTCGAGAAAACTCATTGGATTATTGGTAACATAATGCATTCAACATAAACAAATGTTAACATAACAACATCCGCCATCTTGCCAATTGAACTAACTAAAAACGTGGTGCGCGGCAGAGAACTAGGCACCATTGAAAAGATCATGTTTCATCATGGTAAATGTTCATGTTCATACATAGGTAAATATAAGTCACATCTCAACACATATATGTAGTAATCTTATATCCCTTTGATAAAATTAGTAAAATTTTGTGTAAATTTATGTTTTTGAATATGAACGAATGCCTGAATGAATGCCTGAATGAATGAATGAATGAATGAATGAATGAATGAATGAATGAATGAATGAATGAATGAATGAATGAATGAGTGAATGAATGAATGAATGAATGAATGAATGAATGAATGAATGAGTGAATGAATGAATGAATGAATGAATGAGTGAATGACAAAATACACAAACACCATTTTCACAGAATTTATTTTTTCAAAAATATCTATTTTTATCCAACTTGTCCTATATTTTACCAGGTGGTGGTTATGCTGAGTATGTTTCAGTATCAGAATCATATGTCATGAAAGTCCCCGGTAGCTTAAGTTTGCTTGAGGCTGCTTCCATTCCAGAAGTTTGGCTGACTGCTTACCAGCTTCTTCACTTTCTTGGACGAATTCAGAAAGATGAATCTGTCTTAATTCATGCTGGAGGGAGTGGTGTTGGAACAGCTGCCATCCAGCTTGCAAAATTAGCAGGAGCTAAATCTTTTATTACTGCTGGCTCTAAAGCAAAGCTTGATTTTGCTAAAAGTCTTGGTGCAGATCACACTGCCAATTATAAAGAAGAGGACTTCCAAGAAGCTTTTCAAAGTGAAACAAATGGTATGAGGAGCTTCTAATTTTTTGTATCTTTTGTATTTTGTATCCCAATCAAATGCATTTGATTCAACACATTTTGAACAAACCTTTTAGCAAAGCATGAATGACTTCCATATGACTACTTTGAGTTAGTTTTGATTACACTATATTGACAAACCTTGGCTTGCAGTGACTGAGACTCAACTTTTGCTTTTTAGTATCAGCAGGGCATTAGTCAAGACTTGTCTTTGAAAGCATTCTAGCTATCAAAACAAAGTCAAGTTTCTGATCATCTTATTCTTAGGAAAAGGTATAGATGTCATTTTGGACCCAGTTGGTGCATCATTTTGGGAGAAAAATGCCAAACTGTTGGCTGTGGATGGACGATGGGTGCTTTATGGACTTCTTGGTGGAATGAAAATAGAGGGTGATTTGTTTAGATACTTAATGTCAAAGAGAGCACAGTTACTGGCAACAACTCTCAGAACAAGGCCCCATCAGGTTAAATTATATTTTTTGTCTCTATTTCAACATTCCAAAATTAGTAAAATGCTAAAAATGGGTAATAATTTCCTTTGAATAGAGCTTAAACAGCTTTAAGTTACAACAATATGAAAGTAAATTATCTTGCTTCAACTGATTCAAAATTCAACTGCCTCAGTGAGTAGCATATTAGCAGTTCAGTAAGTGCTTGGCGAGTTATGTACTTTTTAATGTGTGAAGGTGTAATAGAATTTTACTCAAATCCTACTTATTTACTTAAATTTATATTGGACCTTTGATCAAAACCTGTCACAAATAAGCACCAAGATAATATTCCTAGTTTAAAATAAATGCAGTGGGCAGATGAAATTAGCAGAAATAACAGAAAGACTTTCAACTGAAAAAATAATCAATTAATATTTCAGGGAATTGTCTTGAAATGATTTAACCAATCAAAAATGTAAAAAAAAACAAAATTTAGCTTTCAAAATTTTTTCATTTTTTACAATCAGTTTTTAAATGCTGTGCTTTAAATAAATGGTTGAGAAACTTTTTAAAAAATGCACAGATGGCATTTATTTGAGTACATAAATACAGGTGCCTTGTTATTTTTCTTCTTACACATTTCATATTATATTATATTATATTTTATATTATATTATATTTATTTTATATTGTTACCTATTCTTTGCCTATTTTTTCTAGTATAAAAAGGAGCTGATTGATTCATTCAGTGAAAATGTGCTGCCCTACTTTGAGAATGGCCAATTGAAACCAGTCATTGATTCAGTATATGAATTCAATGACATTGCTGAAGCTCATCGTGTCATGGAGAGTTCTTCAAACACTGGAAAAATTGTTATCAAGATCTCTAGTGACAAAGATGAACTTTGATCAAAGGTAATCAATGACCTGGGATCTACTACAAATTGGCTGCTTTGGTTTTAACGATGGAAAAATGAACAGTAAATCTGAAATGTAATTTTACTCAATCATCTTGTTATGTTTTGTTTTGGAAAATGATGGATTCGAACAGTCGCTATTTTTACTGGGACATGCTGTCTACTGGTCCCTGAGAATCTCCAGTCATTTTTAAATACTGGAAGAGTATTTATTTTTCTGCTGCTAGAAATTAACTAATTAGTTAAAGAATAAATGAAAAATTTTTAGTTGATATTCTGGTTATCTTTCTTTTTGGCACTGTTTCAACTGTTTGGTGTACTGATGTGCAAGAATGTTTGAAACTCAACTGCCTGCAAAATTTGCAGTGAAAAGGAAAAATAACAACTAGGGCTAAATGTGCATGTAAAAATGAAGTTGAAGCAATAGAAGCAATAGTTTACGTCTTATCCTTGCTCTGCTGTTTGTAAGCCTACCTTTGTGCATAGAGCATAGCAAAGTATTATATTTGGCATGCATATTAACCAATGCTGAGAAGAATTATCATGTCTCAAAATGTTTTCGAAACGCTGACAAATTCACATAGATTATGGATTAAAACCTGATACACTTGTGGTGGAATTTGTATTTCCAATCAAGAACAATAGGTATCCCATCGTGCTCATGCTTGGCAAAGCAGTGTCTAAAATTCTCAAGCCTGGTTTATCTGTGGTGAGGCGGGTTACAATACTTTGGATGGCTAAGATGTGAGATAAACCACTGCCTGGTTTTTTCAATTAAAAGCTTAGCCATAAAGCCATTGCTTCTTATCTTTCGATGGCATCCATCATGTGTCAGTCTCTTCGAGGAAGCGACCTAGCTTAGTTTGAGTTAAGAATCGATTTCAAAACAGTACAGAGTTTTGGAAAACTAAACAGTAGATTCTATTCCAAAAACGTGAAAATAAAATTTTTGATTAGTAATATTAAATTTAATTCCAGTGCTATTTTGAAATGAAATGTCTCCCAACTTTGAAAAAAATTCTATGAAATAACTTGGATGCCTATTTAGGGGCTCGATAGCAAAAGCACATTTATTTAGGATAGTCTTCGGTAGTCAGACTGCTGCTATCGATTGAAAGTATCCTTGCACGATAAGATGAAACATAAAAGGAAGGGTAAGAAATTATCAAAAACTTTCTCCTCTCTGCTTCTCATTTTGCAAGAGATTCCTTGGCCAGCTGTTCTAACATATTAAAATTCTATCTCGGAACTGAAGATAATTGGAGATAGATATGCCTTTCTGAAAATCAATAAGGACGCTCAACGAAATCATTCCTGGGATTTTTATTCAACATGATCATGAATTAAAGTGTCAAACGCATTTGCGCCATTAGTTCTACATATTGAAATGCAAGAGGCCAAGACAGCATAAAGATAGCCAACGATAGGTAGAGAGTCAGAGGGTAGAGAACTATGCCAAAATAAAAGCGAAATATCATAAGCCTAGTGTAATAAATGTATTCATCGAGGTTTAGGCACACCAATGAACAATCCAAAGTTTTCTGCTAGCCGATATTTTCACAATAAAAAGATATTTTTTTAACAGCTCTTATTCCGATTAAAATATGCTTTATTTACAGTATAAGTGTTATTTTGATATTAAATTGTGTGCCGTGTATTTAGTCTACTTTCTTAAATGCATGTGCAAAGTAGCATTCGGTACCAGTCCGCAGTCGTCAAGGGTTTCACGGTCGTTGTTGTATGTTCGATTCGGAAAGGTAGATTTTAACTGATAGATGAGTGAAATGTGGTGCCTAGAAAATCAAAGAAAAATTACATTATTTTGTGTTAATGTAAAGAGTTATCAGTATCTCACAAACAAAAATTTACAATTATATCGTTTGAAGAATTAAAAGGTTGCTTTGAGTAACTTGACATATTGAGGCTGGGCTGGTTTGGCTTCAAAAGAGAGTATGCCTCTTTATCCTGAGGAGCATATTTCTGAAAAAGAGGGGCTAGTCTACCCATTGCGAGCCCTACCCTTCATGGCTGCGCTACTAGAGCGTCAGTGACGTTTTACCCGAGGAGCCATTTGCTCTGGGATAACGTTTGGTTGCTTGTAAACAAATCAAGGCAAGATGTACACGTTTTGCAACATATTATCTGTTTCCAAAGCCAGCCTATTTTTGAAAATCATCTTAAGTTTAAAGATTCTTATCTCAGAAGAAAAGACCAAAGTGGTACGATCTATGATTTTCAAAACAGGAAGATTAATAACACTTAATGCAATAAAATGTATACTTAGTAGTAAAAAGTATCATTTGTTTTTAATGTTGCAATGAAGTAATGGCAGTAACATTGTGAAATTCTACCAGATTTGCCAAATTCATTATGCCCCCAAATTTCTTTAATCAAGATACTCAAAATAACGCACGTTAAAAGAACACGCCCGGTATATCGAGACTTTATAATTAGTCTCCTTATGGACGGATTGAGTGTTATCCATTGACTTAATATACTGACAAAAGAGCTTAGGTTAAGTTCATCTGTCATTATTATTTTTATCGCTTTAGCAATTATATAAGGCGTTTAGCAGGCACGTGACTTATCAGTTGTAAGGGTTACCCAAACAGAGGTGCGTGCGTTATGTCTAATATGATCAGATAGACGGAGTTTTACATACCTTGTTTTATTTAGCTGTCTTTTGACGTCTCCAATTGTATCAGTGTACTTCATTTTCAATATATATGTCTAGCAACGATAAATACGTCGTTATAGATCTGGTTAAAGCTGCTTGGAGGGGGCTGGTACGGAGTAAAATTATCAATTAGTAAAAACTGTTAATACCACATAGGCATACCATATAGGCATAAAATAGAATAAAATCAGTTCTGAAAAACAGCGTTTCTCATTTTTGTAAAATATCATGAAATGTTATTTGAAGACACTTGTGCACTTTTGCAGTCCAGCCAAATGATTTTGATCGAAGCTGTATCCTTACATCCTGCCTGTAATTTCAGGCTCATTGAATCCTGCAGTAAAATCACCATCATTGTTTATCTCCAGCAAAACTAACACGAGTAGACATTTAAAAAACCCTAAAATCTTTCAAATGGATGCGTGAAAATAAAGCTGAATCATTCTCTGTTTTCCTTTTGCTTCCAGCCTTGAGTTGTTCTGAAATTCCTCTTCATTTTTTAAAACTAGCTGCGTGTTCTTACAGATTTGCTTTAACAAACAGCGCAATACAAGCGTCCTGAAATTAGCGTAATGTAATGCATGGTATCCATACAGTAAGTCATGCCTGTATATTGTATTCGTTATCAAATTATCGTAGCACTTGTAAATTAAATTTATACATTAGCATGTGGCAAAAGTAGCAAAACAGTACAAATATCTTTACAGATCGTAGTCACTACAAAAGAATTTGTATTTACATAAGGGTATCAGGAATTATGAAATAGGGTATCAAAACTATCAACTCTGAGGGCATACCGTAAAGCCTTTTCAAGCGAAAAGGTACTGAATGAACTTAAGTAGAGCATAGGGGCAGTATCTTAGTTTAAAGCAAAGAATATGGATGTTTGTGGAAGGAAATAGAGACAACAGGCCGTGTGGCATATTGCGAATTGCGAAAAGTGTGCTCAAGAATTGTTTTAACCAAATGTTCAAAATTACTTAAGTCGACTGAAGCTCCGCCACCTTCCATCTAGCGCACTTCTGCGCTCCTTGCTTGAGACAATAAAAGAATGAAATTGGTTGGATGTAAAACCATTGTGATTTTAAATAAAAACCCATTTTAGTATCTTCGTAATGAAAATCTGTTTCGCCTTTCTAAGAAGCACTCGCGCTTTCTCTGTGTATTTCTGGCAAAATCAAAGCACCGTCTTAGCAAATTGCTGCTATTTTTTGTTCGCACGATGTCAATTCTAGGTGTTTCTAGTAAACTTAGGCAGGTGATAAATGGCTTCTTATAAGAAGCAACTAGATTATCTCCTGTAACAAATTTACCTTGTCTCCTTTTTCTGATTTTATTCTCAAAGTGGTAATATTCTCTGCTTGAGAGTCTTTATCCTTGACACTGAAAAATATGGTTATGTGTTGATTTAATCCAAGAGAGATAAAGTTAGTTTGAATTGATAAAGACAATGTAAGTAACAGGACCTTTCTGCTGTCACTCGAAGAGGGTCTAGAAAGATGGCTTACTCGAGGTTTGCGAACAGTTTAAAACAGGCAACAGGCTCACTATTTGGTTGAAAATTTTTAATGTGTATATATCAAACTGTAACTTCTATCTATGGTTGGGCTGCAAAATGACAAGGACACGTATAAAGAGAACAGTTTCAAGTTTTATATTTTGTACTATTATATTTATACAGTCACTACTGCAACAAGCATTCTTTACGAAGAAATTTAACGGAAGTAATATTAGGACGCCAACCCGTTGCAGTTTGCTAAAACATGAAGCAAAGAAGCCTAAAAATATTTTGGCAAGCCACAAGAATTACCTTGAAGTTTCATTCTGCTGAAGTTCATTTTCGACTATAACCGTTTCCGGTCCTTTTTCTTGGTCTCCCTGTTGAAATAACGAGGCAGCATGTACTCGTTATCATGAACTTGATGATTTATGATGAAGTACGACACGCAACGTACAACTAAAGTTTTACTTTATCAAAATGCAGGAAGTTTGACTGTTTTTATATCCTTACTCCGCCATAAGCTTAAATATCCTACTTCTAGATTTTTGATTTCCTACTTCTCAATCATAAAGAGCAGTTAACTATATACCTAGATGACTTTTCCAAATCTTATTCCACACCTGGTACTATTAAAAAGATCCTGAACCAGAAAAGTGACAAAGATTGGTAAGTGATTAGATTCGCAAACTAAAGATCCAAGGGTCCGTGGTTCGATTCACTGAAAGGACCAAACTTTTACTTAGAGTGAGAAAAGTTGCCAGTTCTCTGTAGTTCTGGATGATGTGCAGTCACTTGGAGAGGAAGGACCAGGACGCTGTTCAATGTCCCATAAGTAAAGCTTCTCAGTGTCTTAAAAACTATCTTGGGGAGCTTGGAAATAACAAATGCAAAATACAAATACAAGATTGACAGCAAAATGAATAATGTTAGTGAAATGGCAAAAGCCTCCCAAAACCAGACGCACTGTTGTACCAAAACTGAGCTAATTCAAAGATGAGGCCAAAAAATCTCATTGACTGAGTGTCAAATCACATTGACCTGTGTTTGGGAAATCAAGACCATTAAAAACGGTTCAAAAATTCAGTTGCGTCATATTTGGGTGTAGTAAAAGCATTCAATAAGAGTATTTGCTAGATCATCTGTTGGTGTGCGTTTGTCGGAACATAAAATCGGGATTTTAATTATATTTCTGGAATATGGTGATAAGCGATTGACGAGTCTAAGCCTCTGAAATCTACGGAGTTTGACGACATTTGAGTATAGAATGCTTTGTTGGTAATCAAATTTGTACCAAAGGTGAATTACGAAGGCCAATCCAAAGAACGCCTATAGAAAAATCAAAAAAGGTGAACAGGCCAGCAAGATGTCATCATAAATTCTAAATAATGTACCGTGCAACAACAAACTTATATAAAAGGCCGTAATGATGGGCAATAATTACTTTTAATGTGGCTTTGAGATCCGACTTGATATCTACAAGCTTTCCATTTCTCACCACAGATGATGGCAATTTATTGAGAAACTGTTCCATAGTTTGCTTTTGAACGCCTAGAAAAAAAGATAGATATTCAGTAACAATGAAAATTACTTCTATTTGTATTATTTTCTTATCAAACTGAACATTTTTCTCAAGCGTCGTTGCGAGCCCATATGCATCACAAGATACCAATTCCCCACTTTTCTAGAATATTTAATCGATTGTTTAAAAAAGCAAGAAGAAGCAGCCTTTAAAGGGCATTGTCAATCAGTCCACAGCACCAACATATAATAATAGAAATCCTGATAGGTCTCACGGGGGGATCATGAAAAAATTAGGGCATTCGGTATGTTCAAAAGCTTTAATAGTTATATAACAACATCATTTACAGCAGATCATAAACATGGTTCATGTATAATACAGGTTTAATAAAATTTTACAGCATATTCTCGTCAATGAGGGCACGGTGCCAGATTTAATAAGGAGCAGAGTAGAGCGGAATAGAGAGAAATTAAACATCTTCTGTAGGAAAAACTAAAAACTTTAAACGGACCATAAAATTTTCGGCTCATTGACGTTCACTAAATAAAACTGCTTTTTTACCGACTGCTGAAAAAGTGAGCATAACTGTAAACGAATAACTATAGCAAAAAACATTTATGTGAAACGAATACAACGCCCTCTGGCTTCAACCGAAAGCCGAACAGTCCCCAAACTTTCAAAGTAAAGAGAACGGTTGATAACTTTTAAGTACTTAAAAATCAAAATCATTGTAAAAAATAAATATCTGTTAGAAAATTTTAACTAAAATAGACAACTTTTCTCCCTTTGTTGTCATTATTCTCTCCCCTCTTTCATTCTGGACTTTTGCACTTCTTTTTCTACCTTCATTTTGAATGCATTACCACTTACCTTGTTTGAGGCCTTGTTACACTGGTTTATATTAATATAGAAGGCTCACCACGGTTAAAAAGCTTCACAAATAGGAGACATACTAGAGACAAGCCATATAAAACAAGGTACCGTATTTGTTCGAATATATGCCGCTGCTTAAAATTAGTTTTTGGCACGTTTTGCTGCAGTTTATGATCAAGGGCGGTATATATTGTTTTACCCAGTTCCTGGCAAACCTTCCTGCTACCTTGAAGCCGAGGAAGATAAGGTACAAAACCAGTAAGACATACTTTTCGACGATATTGACTATCTGTCATCTCGACGATATTGTTCTTGGTTGAACTTCTATGTTTTTGCACAAGTACATAATCAGGTTTTCATAAAATTTTGGTCCGTCATTTTAGACCAAGTTTTTCTGCATGGTTTGTTAGTGCGGGGGCGCTTTACATTTCTTAAGAACCCCATTTTCTGCGGTACATTTTCTGCGGCTTATAATCGAATAAATACGGTACGTTATCATTTATAGAAACATGTTTAGTGACGACGTTCATAGATCAATGCCTAAGAGGATTGCGATAAAGCATTTAAGAATTTTTGCATTGATAGATATTAGTCTGGTCACAGTGACTAAAAGTTCAAAGTGATATAGAGTTTTTAGACGATTAATCGTGATTAATCCCGATTAAACCCAATTATCAATCAGATTTAAACATTATGAACAAAAGCTATGGAGTAAAACTCTGCGCAATGTTTTCCTACCTGGTGGCTGATATGTTTCCTTGACGTCTCTCTCATCCCCTGTTTGAATTTCTTTATCTGAAGTTGTCTCCCTTCCATTAGTATTGTCGTCAACTAACGTCTGACCAGCACCAGAGAATATTTTCTCTTGTCTGTCGTTGCGGAAGTGTGTCTCTCTCAAATCTTTTAACTATAAAGAAACTTTCGTTAAAGACAGTAGCAATAGAAGAGTACATTGTTTGAGAAGGCATTTCAGACTAGTAAATTGGCATTTATCAGAGATTAGTCAACCGAAAATCACAAAGTTTCTATGCAAACACCAGAAACGTTTAAAAAAAGCAATTTACAATAGAAAAGCTCTTTTAAAACAAATTGTGACTTCGATGTATAATTACTAAATCGAGAACAGTAACTAAGAAATACATAAATTCATTGCATAACAACTTACTCGCATACATGTAATTATCACAGATGATAAATAAGTCATTGTGCTGAGAGTTCTTATCTCCCAATTTTAAACTAGAAGGAAACTTAAAAAAAGCTGATAAATTTCAACTTTTATATCAAACTTCATTGTCCAAAACACGCAAATAAATATAAGTGAAAGTAAAGATGAAGGAATTAAAAGCGTAACTCACAAGGAAGGGAACACCATCAGGATATCTTAATTGTAGTTCGGACGGGAAGAATCCATCCATCAAATCCTGGACACATGCCTGGGAAAACAAACAGTAATTAAATCCGAAGACAAAATGCTGAAATCAAATCTAGCTCAAAGGACTTTCGCTTGATATCGGTAGTCTTCAGGTAAAAACATTGTACAAATAGAACAACAGAACGAGACTCCAGACAAAAATTTGGAATTACTTAAAGTCCAAAAAAAAGCTTTCTGCGTGTTTCACTTGGAGGTGCAAATGGGTTTTGTAAAATATCAAAAGGTTTACAGAAATATTGTACTGTAGTGATCTTCATATTGTAAAATAGTCCATGTTCATTCTACAACGACCATGCTATCACCATAATCGTTGTAGAGATACGTCAAGGAAACATATCACCGTGAAATCCCCTGCGTCATCACGGCATTGCACAGGACATTTCCTTTACCATTGTTTCCAACTCTGACTAAGCTTTTCGCGTTCGTTTCAAGTCTAGATCTTTCTTTCTACATTGCATAATCATTACACCATCTTAACACATCCTTACTCAGCACATTTATTTTTTATAAAGGTATATCAATTTGTATGCAATTAAGTTCAGACTCGAGTTCAGTTAGAATCAAGACACATTGATCGTTGTTCCGTTGCACACCAAAATCAGTGTCTCAGACTTTACCAGAAACTCAGAAAGGATCTTGCAATAAAAAAGCTTAAATTAATTGTAGACTTTGCCCTATTCTATATAATTCTGGATATTACAGTATCTGTAAGGCTACCTGTGTTTCAGCATCTGAAAATGGCCTGAATGGACCATTGAACATAAATATACCATTTGCATAGAGTGTAAGCGGCAATGGATCGCGAATCTAAAACGAAAAAGAGCAAAGTTTGCCTTTCAGAATGTAGATAAAATTAGGGAAACAGTAGTGAATTGCCTAAATTATGACTGAATTTGGTCAAATATCTACTGATAATATCAAGTTGTATAAAATACAGTTTATCAACGATACAGTTTATCGCAAATATGGTAGGAGATTACATTTCTACTCAAGTGAGAACTAACCAACGTATTTGATTGGAGGCCTGTGCTTTTCAAACAAGCTAATGTCTTTGTTCAAGCAAAGCTAGCTAGATTTGCACTGACCACAGTTACAAGCTGGAAGCACTGTATTGCGCCTAACGCAAAATTGAACAATTTTCCAGTCCCCCTAAAATATATCTCGACTCTAACTTGACCTTACTATATTTGTCTTTGAAGCAAAAGCTTTGGTTTCTTTAGTTAAAGAACAATTAAGACCTTCAATAGATCCTCTCCAACATAATTTAAGGCACTCTGAAACAAATTCAAAAACGAAAGGAAGAGATCAAAGGCTGTTACAAAGAGGATCCACCTTCAGTCGAGCTCCTTTTGAGGTGTGTGCAATAACATGTTCACCCTCTCCGGCCAAACTGTTCAGTTCTTCAATATTCTTAACGATTAAGTCAAAATTTACTTTGAACGGAGCAGATGTTGCCAATGAAGAACCTATAACAAAAGAATATTGCAATATATTTCATCCCAAACTTTTACACTTTACACAAACAAAATTATGATCTGAGCAAATATTTCAAGAATAATTTCGATGAAAATGATCGTAAATTATAAGCAGATAGCAATCCACCATTTTTAAGACCAAGATAAGTCCTCTTGGTATGTTACGTTAATGAAGTAGATAAACTAAGAAATAAATTATTGATAATAATATGAATAAAAAAACACAGAAGGTAAGCTTTATTGAAAGTAACTGGTACCATGGCCAGAGTGACGTAAATTGCGATTTGCGGTGATACAGATGTGGGTAATTAACATGCACCTGCTTATCAATTTCTTAGCAATGAGGCTTTGGAAGGCCTTCGATTTCACATCAAAAGGGGCACCACAGTAAAAACTGGTAAAATTTAAATTTCCTTTACATTTGGTAGAGTCTCTAATGGATTTGCAAACTAAATGATAAGGCAGCATTACTATTTGCAACTGCAGTGTGTGCAGTAGATAAGCATTAAGGGGCTTGAGGACGAGGGCTTGCGCCTTCTTTGCATAAGCAGAGAGGTGTCTAATTTTTATTCTTTCTTAGGGTTATTAGAGATGTTTTTGCAAGAGCCAATTCCCTGTCACCATTGCTCGCTTCATAGCCCCACACCTCTACACTAGGCACAGCACTGTAATAGGATAACTTCGCTTACCTGGGTGCCATATTGATCCACGTCCACTTTGAACTTCTTCCTCTTCATCAAGTTGCAACTCATCATAATTATTCACTCTGGAATGGACAGGTGCTTCTTCGTCACCATTGTCTTCATCACCAACCCAAACCATACCATAATCATCTAAGAATTTCTATAAATGAAAATTAAAGTGCTCGTTACCATATAGGCAGAGCTGTACACGCTATTTTGTGTATAGAACAGGACGGTCCGAAGCTGCTCCTTCAAGCTTAATGCAATCATCAGGCAACTGCGCTGACTTATGTAATGCAATGATGCCTTCAAACCATACAATAACAGCAATAATAACTTCATTTGAATCTATCAGATCTCCCATTAAAATATTACATAGCAAAACTCCTGAAGAAGGTGGTATATCATGCTAGCTAAAATGGATGATATTATTTCTTAATACCAATCATTTGATTACCCGCACACAGGTAAAAAATCAATCAGTTTTTGCGTTTCAGTATCTTATATCCTCGTAGAAGTAAAAGTATTGTATTGTAAATAAACTGCCTTCTATCCTTTTTCACCATTCTATAGTACTTGCTATGTATTAAATCTATATGGATTATTTACTTAATTCTAAATGTTATGAGTAATGCCAGTGTAATGTTCGTTTGATGAACTCTTAATCGACATGCAAACCAGTAGAACAAAAAATTTTCTCCAGAAGCGTTGCGTCAGTACAAACCTCCATAGAATGTACTTGGCCTTGAAGCTTTTGACATTTTCTTTCCAATTCAGATATTTGTTCATTTCCATAACCTGAGGGAAGTTCAATAAAAACGAGATAATAATCGGTTTATATTATGTACAATTCTTTAATAGCTACATTAAAGTTGCCGTATTATCTAATTTCAATGAAAACCTGGTTTTCGTAAATTTTCGGTGACGATTCCTGATGACCAGAGGCCGTCCACGATGGTCATGGATCACCCTTCATGGAAACGCCACCTTAGGCCGCAAAGCTTATGCTAAATTTAGCTGCAAGAGATATGTTACTTCGCCTCAAAAACACGATGAATTCTAAAAAAAATGACAATGTCATAGCTAGGGGTTTTGGTCTCCCCTTGGTAATTTCTTCCATTTTGAATGAATCTGATGTATAATATTCGAAGATACAAAGTTTAAATGCAACTTGTAAAACAAAATGCAAATAAGGCTAAAAGGAATAAACATTTTCAAAGAGCTTTCTTAAACTCATAATGTCCGAAAAAAAGAAGAATAGCTGTTTAAGGTCATTATTTCCTGAAAAAAACCTCGATATGTACCATTTTGAGCAACATTCTTTGTTGCGTTGCAAATTCAGCTCTTCAGCTTTTCAATGGAAAAACTGAAAGTCAATTTTGCGATATCACTCACGTATCTAAAAACTCTATGTGTATATTGTTCTTTTACTATTGACCGTCGAAAAATGTCGGGAAAGTCAAACAGTTTTGAATTTTGCGATGATCGAGGATGATCTCCTATAGTTTTCTGGTTATCAGATATCACAAACAATGGGGGACTGTTCTGGACTATCAGGAAGGATCAGGAAAGCGCATGCGATCATTGCTTGCGAATGTAGATATCTATAGAAAGGCGCTTAGGTATTATCAATGAAACAAAAAATAATCGTGGGGCTTATCATAGTCCAGTCTGAAGAAAAGAATCTTCTGTACATTTTGTATATGCTTTCGTGATCTTTACAAAGTAACCTTTTCAAAAGGTGAACTGTTGAAGAAAAAATCTTGAAAAATCATTGAAAATCAACCGCAATAAATTACATGTTTCCTTGAATGTCTTTTGCGTGTGTTTTACTAACATTAGAGAGGACAGCAGCTTATTGTCCTTTGATGCAATCTTTTCAAATTTTGTAAGGATTTTGCATACAGAACAATTACGTCATTGCCCAGAATAACATATTAACAAAAAGATTATGTCACCTCTTGCTCTCTCCATTATATGACATTTTTCTTCCAGTATCCTTATTCTCTTCTCCTAAGTGAATAGGAAAAGCATTGTTGACACCATTGCCAGTCAAATGTTTTGATTTGCAGTAAAAGAAAAAGGCTGGGGAAGTATTTTACTAAGCGGTATTTCATCACTTCTAGCCATAAATACCAAAAGATCATACATGATTGCCTTGCTGCAAGTAATAGTCACCATTTGTAAGTTTTCTGGCTGAAGCTTACAAAAACTTACCCTTGACAGGCAACAAATTGAGAAAACTGACAGTGTAAAATACACGAGGCAAGAATGCTGACAGGCTAATAAGATACAAGCTCAAATATCACATGATGCCATAAGAAATTGTAAAAGTTTAATGTGCTTGCCAAACCATTCAGAAGACTCCTCTGGATAGGTTAACAGTAAAAAACTAAATCAACTGTACGGAGTAGGAAAAAGACAACTGAAATTAACTCAGAAATCCACAAAATGCCCCAAAGATGAATCTATGTCAAGTAATAACATGATATGTATATCTTTCACAGTCATGCTGATAATTGACAATAGTTTTACAAATTAATGTAATTATAGTAAAGACAGTTGTGATTGAGAATATAAAATGCATTATTGCTTAATATAAACTATTTTGATGATGAGCTAATTAACAATATTTTTATCTGATAATGAGGTTAAAATTATTAATTGATAACAAGTTTAAAGCATCATCTCACGCTATAATGTCTATGGTTTTTTTAAAAAATTGCAGCAATAAATAGCAGCCATTGCATACCTTTTCTCTGTTTGAGTCCTGTGATAATTTGAGACTTTGTTCAGCTTTTGCCAATCTCTGCATCATCGAAGCAAGCAAGTCTTGGTCACTTGGTGCTAAATATGTTAAATTTGATGTAGATTTTGATTTTCTAAGCAAGGTACAACTAATATTTAGAAATCAGGAGGAAACGTGTCAGAAACAAAGAAAGATATAGAATAGATGGACATGTTTGTTGATGCATTAAAATTCTTTATCTTTAGCAAAAAGCCCACTTTGGAAAACTATCCACAGAGATAATTTCAGATTTTCATAACAGGTCTGGTAGAGAAAATTTCTTATGTTGGTAATCAAGTAGTAAATCTATGAAACAATACATCATTTCAAAGTGCTAAATTTTGGTTTATTAAAATTATGTAATTTATGTTGCATTTCTATAAAAAAGGATCAATCTGTGGATCAAACAAAATTGGGCAGACCACAGATTATATCATATTCTTACCGTTTTAGCTTTTCTTTAGCGTTTTAGCGTTTACCGTTTTAGCGTTTTAGCTATTCAATAGTTGCCAGGTCAAGATTATTGTACCTGGTCCGTTGTCCATAATAATAATAATAATGCTTTGCAGAATGCTTTATAGCAAGCAGCTTACAGTGCCAACACCAGTAAAATCAGGAATTTTTCATATCCAAAGGATCTCTAAGGTACTAACCTGAAGCAGGATTTTTGTATGGAGTTTTTGACTGTCTATGAATGATTGGTTTGTTGGCGAATTCATTTCTCTGTAGGCTTAGTTGTTCATCAATGACTAGATCTATAAATGATTGACAATGATAATAAGGGTTAAAACTGTAAAGACATTGCTAACATAAATATTTTGCAGGTCTTGGAATAGGCTTTTTGTACAATGATACAGCACGATGACAACTCAAATGAAGACCATGAGTGTTGAAAAGTTTGTTAAATTTTTGAATCTTTGAGGGATATTCAAAATTAAAATTAAATGTTATGAAATAAAGACATCATTTATAAACAAATACTTAATTACTTGTGTGGTCCTGTCTTTTGAAAGGTGCAGGCCTTCTCCTATAATAAAATGAAAAAACATATGCATAAGAATAGGTTTGCTGTTGGTGATCAAGTTTTATTCATAATTAATTAAATACAAAAAGGTGTATTAAATAATAGTCACAATATGGATAAAGAAGTAGATTTCCGAGTTGGCATTCCAATTGAGCTTAAGTTGAATTTATGCTTATTTTAAGCTAACAAATTTTAAAAGCCACATACTTGATTGATAGTTCTGACTTTTTTGTTTACATTTTTAAAAAAAACATAGGCCTAATAATTTTCAGTGCATAAATTTGCTTTTTCTCAGCGATAAGCAATAAGTAGAGAGAGCATAAATTCGTCAAGATATTCAATCAAGCAGTCATTTTTACCCTGGCAGGAGCGGTGTTTTCTTTTTATTTTTGAGGCTCGATAATGGGGAACTCATTTTTGCCAAGGCTTCCAACGGAATTGACGAAGCTTCTTTTTCGTAGCAACAGGAATGGGACTGCGCTGTACGACACATTGTAATTGGGATGGCGCTTCAGCTACCTCATTTCGATTACACGAAATTTCGCGCGTAAAAGAAAGGCCATATGTTTGCTTCAAGATGGACGTGAAGGTGGCTAGAAGTAAGATCCTCTCGTCATTTAAAATGCATGGCTACTCTCTTAGGAGTGAGGCCTCAAAATATCTGACAGAAGTCTTATCCCCTCTAAAAAGATCTGACTTTGAAACATGGTTGGAGAAAATAATTGAAAGTGTTGAAAAGCAACCTTTAGAATCATCAGCCCTTGACAAAGACGTGATTGAATCTGCTGTCCAAGAAATCAACCAGGATGGCGAGGAAGAGGATGACAAAGTGTTCAACTTGATTGACGCATACAGCCTTCCTAGGTTCATCTATAGTTCTGATCGAAAAAAGTTTCTGCCAAACACTCAAACCAAGCCGAGTTTGCATGGAACAGCTCAAGACAAGGCCGATATTTTTCGTGACAGATATACCATTTTGAAGCAACGAACAATGCGCCATGAACTTTTTATGCCAGCAACAGTTGCATCAGCTAATCAGAATGCTTCAAAGTTTGAGCTTAAAACCCTTGAGTACCTACTTGGCAGTTCAGTTGCTTTGGAAAATGTTATCATTTTGGGAATGTTGACCCAGCTAAAGGAAGGAAAATATTGGCTGGAGGACCCAACAGGAGTAGTTGAATTAGATATGGAGAAGGCTCTATTTCATACTGGTCTGTACACAGAAAGCTGTTTTGTCCTTGCTGAAGGAGATTATGATGATGGTGTGCTCAAGGTTACCGCCTTGGGGTTCCCACCCCCAGAGCCATCCACTGTAACAAGAGCTCATTTCGGAAATATAAATTTTTTTGGTGGACCATCACCTACATGTGTTGCAGCATCAGAAAAGCTTAAAAAGATTGAACAAGAAAACCAAGATGCCATGTTTGTTTTTCTTTCAGATGTTTGGCTAGACCAACCCAAAGTGATGGCAAAGCTAAGAATTCTTTTTGGGGGTTACGCTGAAGTTCCCCCAACCCTTTTTGTGCTCTGTGGAAACTTTTGTTCCAAACCATATGGAACAAATTACTTTAAAACAATGAAGGGTCTTTTTCAGGATCTTGCAAATCTCATTGCTGAATTTCAATCTCTTGTTGAGAACAGTAGGTTTGTTTTTGTTCCTGGTCCTCAAGACCCTGGTCCTGGGAACATTTTGCCACGTCCAAAAATACCTGAAAATATCACACATGCCTTAAAAGAAAAGGTCCCCTTCTCACTTTTTGCAACTAATCCTTGCAGGATTCAATATTGTACACAGGAAATCATCATAATGAGGGAAGATATAGTCAATAAAATGTGTAGAAATTGTATTCATCTGCCATCAGACTCTGAGAGTGTACCAACTCATTTTGTAAAGACACTGCAAGCTCAAGCACATTTCTGCCCATTGCCTCTTCATGTAAGGCCAGTGTATTGGACATATGACAATGCTTTACGGATCTATCCATTGCCCGACTTGATTATTTGTGCTGATAAGTATGATCCATACAATATAGAGAACAATAACTGCTTGGTGTTTAATCCTGGATCATTCCCAAGAAACGAATTTTCTTTCAAAGTCTACTGGCCATCATCAAGAGAAGTAGAAGACTGCAAAATTAATGAATAATCTTAATAAACATAAAACTTGATTCCTGGGAAATGAAGATTTATTTTATAAGCTTTTTAGGTTGTGGAACAACTGTATGTCTTCTATATTGGTCCACATTGTTAATGACTTGTTTTAATGCAGTTGCTTATTTCAAGTATATTATTGAATCAACAAATTCTGGGGATACAATTAATTGTTTAAAAGTTTATTTCTGTTTTCTAGTATGTACTATTTTAAGCATTTTTTCACAAATTTATCCTTGAATGGACAAGTACATTTGAGCTTTTACTTCATTGTTCCCTGCAGAAATACTTTGCCAAAACTTGGTGGCCTTGAAAAGCTCGAAAAGCACTATATAACCAGTTCTTTTAACAACTAATGGTAGAAATTGGTAAAAAAAAAATTTTGATGTACCAAAAAAGATATGTTTACTGTATTGACAGTTCTCACTGTCTATATTCACTATCTATATCACTATCTCACTGTCTATATTACTGTATTCACTGTCTAGCAACATAAATGACATTAAATAATTGTCATCTGTGTCAGATTGATGTGCTGACAGATAGCTATTGGCCTAGTTTGTTCTTTTCAACTAGATCAGGACAGTGAAACACAGAAATTGAAGACTACCCTTGCCAATTTACTGAACAAGTAGCAATTCTCTCTGTTGAGGAAATTAGACCCTCCTTTTGATGGAATACTCTTGTACATTGTTAGAGCTATGCTATATGCCTGCAGGCTTCTCTCTAACAATGCAGACTAAAGAAAAAATAGAAGTAGGACTGCCAAGTATCTTGTAGGTAATTATGTAAACAGGTAAAATGAGACACAATGTCACAAATTGTCTGAAATTTTGTTGGTTTCAAGTTAAAAGGATTAAGAGTAAAGCAATGATACAAATAAATAAGACAAAACACAAGAGTTTACACAAAAAGACAAAACACAGGCTCGATATTTGCTTTCATCATGCCTTGAAGAGCCTCATTCGTCTGACTGCCAACCTGAAAATTTAATACAGTCTAAAATGACGTCGGATAAAACGGACTCCATTCAACTATCAACACAGGCCTGTTTCGCTCTTCATGTTGTACATTCGTCTTAAACATTTCTATTGATTTTCATTATTTTCTTGAATACTCCTCACTGATGGATTATCTCCCCATTTCCGATGTATGTAGCCAAGAAATTAGATTAACATTCAATAATTCCAAGGTTCTTTTTCTTTAAGAATGCTGCTCTTTACTTCTCCATGCAATAAATTAAAGTTTTGACGGATCAAGATCGAACATCTTAACTAGCAATCCTTAACGCGACGTGTTTCTGCTGCTATAAAAAGCCATAAACAACAAGCAATCCCCTTTCTAAACTTTTTCATCCAGATACTTGGCATTAACATCGCATAAAATGTACACACGAAACATAAACAATCTGGTGAAAAGACGGAAACAGCACAAAGGTGCAACATTATACAGCAGTTGGCCGTTAGAAACACTTGTTATTTTGAAAATGATCATTTGTTTTAGTGATCTAGAAACTACGAGAGTATCTATTTCAGGGTTATTTTCAGAAGGCATTTAGAGCTGCACGTTTTATTTTAAACAGTTTTATGCTTGCATGTAAATTCCTGTTTTCGCTTATCATTTCAAGTTAGTCAGGAGAGTCGTTTGGAAAACCGTATATTTGATATGCTTGCTTTTTTGCCAAAAATGATAGCCTTGAATTCCATTTTTTCTAGAAATTTTATTACAATCATCTAAAACCGATTAGAACGTGTTTTGCATTCAAAACAAACATTTTTTATCACGTTTAAAAGGAAAAAATTATGACAAAAATTGGTCATCTTAGCTATCAGATACTTTGAAATTGAAATGAAAATTGTCTAAAACAGTTTAGTCATTCGTCTTAGTTATTTATGATAAATTAAATATGAACAGTTTTCTTGGCGGTACAGAACTTGAAAATGTCTTTGAAAAAAGCAAACATTTTACAACATATTGGCTAAAAGCTTTTTCGTCTGACATTCTTCAGAGCATAAAACGTCAGAAAAAGGGTCCGGAAGAACACGATGAAAAATATACACCCAGTTGTGGATACTAAAGCTGAAAAATACAATCAAATACATAAACTTAATATTAAAGCTGAAATTAACTGAAGTAAAGTGCGAAAAAGCAGGAAAAAATAGTCAAACTCTCATGCATATAATCTTTCAATAAATTCTTTTTAATTACAACAGCAACTGGCGCTAATATTAATGATAATCAACAAAATCGATAGAAAATTAGAAAACCGAATTCTGTTTTGACTGTTTCACGGGATTGTACTACGATGGTCTGGGATGCATTTACAAAGATTCGAATTCATCGATACGAGATTTTGTGTTTCCTTGGCGAATCTGGCGAAGGGTTTTGTACTTGTCTCTGCCGGCTAAGATGTTTTCTTGATGTAATTCGTCCTCGCGGGTCTTTCGCGTGTCGTCCCTTGAAGCTGTCAGCTCACTACCAAGTTGCTGAAATCGCGAGCAAGAGGTGTTGTTTACAATCAAGAAATTCCGAGCAAGAAGAATGAACGAATGATACATTAACTTATATTTAGAGGGCCTAAGCAAAAGAAGAATTAGACATTCGAAAATAAAATATTACTAACATTTGATAGACTTAGGAAGCTACTTTGACAAGTAAAAAATGTAAAGGCAGAAAGATGGATGCATTCGTTGAGATAAATTCGGCGAAAAAAATGGTTTGGTAGGCGAGCGTTTCGCGAAATTTAAGCTGTCGCTCGTGAAGCATATCGTGATCCCAAACAAATAAACAACCGTAGACAGTATCTTGCTTTGCCATGATGTTGGCAATTAGACTAATAAAACTTTATTTTCAAAGAACGGTTTACTGCATTTCAAAATACTTTACAAAGAACATTTTTATTAGTGAAAGGGAATGCTTTGTTGCAATAACAGCCTTGAATACATAAAAATATTTTTTGTACCCATTTTGAAACAAAATTTTTTTGCGAAATTCACAGTATATTTCGAGTTTAATTCAGTTTTCCAGGAAGGAAATCCTTTTTCTAACTTTGAAAGAAAAAACTATGGATTACAAACTTGGAATTTCTTGTTTTCCAAGTATAAAACATCATCTAATTCTCTACTTTTCATGCAGTAGAATTTTAATGGTATATAATTTTTTGTGTCAAACTGGCAATTGCCTAATGATCTTACAGGTGAAAAAATAAAAATGGTACCTAAAACACTATATGTACATAAAGAAAACAGACAGTTTGTGGGAAGATTCACTCAATTTATGTTGTGCTATAGCTAATGGCGATAAATCATTGAACAATGCCAAAATGCCATACTGACCAACAACTTGTCTCTCATTCTCCTGTTTTTGTCGACCTGTGACTCCATGTCTAGCTCCGTCTGTGCGGCATCTTCGTTCACTTCAAGGTCATGTGACTCGTCCTCTTTGTCATCGTCTTTATCATTCTCCTCCGAAGTCACTACGACTTGAGGAGCTGCTACAGCGGCCGCAGCGGCGGCGGCTTGTGCCCTCAACTAAAAGACAAGGATTATAATTCTTCAATAATTGACAAAAGAACAGTTTGGTGAGAAGAATGCATATTTAAAGAAACGGTAGAATGAGATATGTACAAGCTCTGCCCAAGCCCTTAAAAGATAATCAATTTCAAAAGATATGAAGAGGCTGGGGCTTGGGAATAATGATGGCTAGAAATGGAAAGTATTACAGAAGGAAACCTCTACCTGGCATATGTTAGATAACGGGGAAAGAAGAAACAGTATATAGGAGACATGGATAAACTGTCTTTTAAATAAAGTTAGATGCCTAATGTGAAAAATCTCTAGAACCTAGGTAACGAGCCATTCATTCTCGGTCAAAACAGCCTAAAAGGGGGAAATTTCAGTTCTACTGTCTCTGCAATAAAAATTTCTACTTTAATTTCTACTTCACTTTAATTCATGAGCAAATATTTATGAGCTCAAGTTCCTTTCGACGATCCTTTAATCAAGTTATCATTGGTGCCCGTGGTAAATACCCAATAACAAAACTGCCTTGAAAGATGACATAAAGATGAATAATCATAAAAACTTACGACTTCTGCCTCTGCCTGGGCAGCGGCAGCTTGAGCAGCAGCCGACTCTGCAGCGGCTCTGGCCTCTGCTTGTGCAGCGAGGGCCTGTGCTGCGGCTGCTTCCGCGGCTGCTTTAGCTTCAGCTTCCTTTGCTGCCGCCTCATCAGCCCTCCTTTTCTCTTCTTCTGCAATTCTGGCCGCTTCCTCTACAGCCTTCTGTTGCTCTGCAATGCGTTGTTGGTTTTCACCTTCACGTTTTCGTGTCTCCTCAAGCTGAAAAAGAGAGAAATGAAATGATCGATCACAGCGCTTTCCGGGTACATTTGAGTTTTTAACTGGACTACAATAACAAGCTACTGACACATGCTCCTTCATGCCCAAAGCTTTTATTCTGCCTGCTTTAATGAGAGAACTAAACATCAAATAAGAGTTTGACTTGGCAAGGGAGTTTAGCTTCTTTTTTACACGGAAAATTCAATAGGGCCTAAAATTTAAATAAATTTGCATAGTTGCGAATGGGCGAGCACTCAATATAGTAATAAACATTTTAAGCATATCTCTTATAAAGTTGCCAAACTAATGATTAACAAAAAAACCTGTACAAGAAACTAGGACAGGACGGGGCAGAAAAACGAGATATCCTACCTCAAGTTCCAGTCTCTCCTTTTCTTTTCTCTTTTCTTCGGCTAATTCTTCAATTTTCTTTGCTGCATCTTCAGCTTCTTTGACTTTTGCAGCCTGCAAAAACACATTTTGTATACTTACAAACAACAGGAATAAGATTAACTTAAAAAGAAGCTACGACAACGATACAATTAAAGATGAGGTAAAACAAGACTCATTTCTGACTCCTATTTATCACAAAATTCTTCATACAAGACTCGACAATGGTTCATTTTCATATCATCAAGTAAACAAGAAAAGCAACAAATAAAAGTTTAATACTCTCAAAGACTGGTGTTTTCTTCTTCGCATTTCAACGATTTCTTCTCAACAGGCAGCAAGTTCTATGTATGGTTGGAAGCTCGCAAAATCCCTCCTTTCGCACGAATTTCAAAAGCAGTTTTGGAATCAATAAGAACCTTGAGTCTCTTTAGAAAGTGGGTTTCAAATACCTACGCTTTGCTTACAACTAGTCAGTCAATGCTAAGTAATTAAGAAAAAAGGAGTCTCAGAACAATATTTTTGTCTTAGACAAGAATTTATGCTTTGCATTCTTGTAATTGCAGAAAAAACATTTTGAATGAAATTCACGGATCGATCTTTCGCCTTGGTCTACTAGAAACTAATTGTGATGTTTGGAGCACTTGTTTTTCACTAGAAATGCCATTTAGGGATTGAATCTCTGTAAACCATCAATAAGCTTACGGATTAAGCAGACTTAACGATTAACGAATAACACGTTGAACAGCCAATGTTTGGAATTTTCTTCCACCTGGACTCATTTCCGGTAAGAAATTTGAAATAAACTCTTTACTGCTTGCAATAAAAATCAGTCAGGATTGTAAATCTTATTTTGACTAACTGGTACTTAATTGCTAAGTATTGTGACAGTCCAAAGCCGATGCAAGCTGCCAGAAACTTCAAAACAGATTTCAACCACTGTAGCTATCACCGCTAGCTAGTAAATTCCTCTTTCTATGCGCCAAAACATAATTTGCAAATTAATATATTATCTGACCTACCATTTGTTCCTTCTCCAATTCATTTTTCTTCGCAAGCTCCTCCACCTCTCTCCTCTTTTCCTCTGCTTCTTGTTTCGCTTTGATAATAGTTACAGCCTCTTCTTCAGCCAGCTTCCTCTTTTCTTCCAATTCCGAAACAGCAGCTTCAGATTTCTTTAAAGCTAAAACAAAGATCAAACTATTTAAATAAATTTACCCGTACTGATGCTTCAATAGACACGTTACAATAAAATAGGCATTAGCTAATGACTATCACATAAAGGTACATCTGATTTCGGAAGAACAAACAGCTTTTCCTGTACTGACCGAATTTTGTTCAAAATGTTCAAACAATCCACAGTCAATTTATACAAACTTTCAACTTGCTTATATCTTAGTGCCTGAGCAACAGCCACTTAATACAACCTGCTTGGTAGATCATCTATTGCATGAAACAAATCATTCTATTTGGAGAAAGCACCCACTTAGGTACAGAGTGCATATTGGCTTTTTTAGGCTTCATGACCATAAACTTAGGATAGGAGCATTTGAATGGGAAACGCATAGTCTAATCAGGCCTGGCTATTTGAAGAGAGCCATAGCTTTTCCTCCCCCCCCCCCCCCCCAGGTTCCCCCTAAATGCCCAAGGAAAGCTGCTGATTGCTCTCTGATACTGTTCCAAAAAGAAAATTGCCCTTCTTTAAAAATGATTTTTCCCTTATTTCTATTCTTATATTTCTCTGAATAGTTTTCCTGGAAATTACTAGGAGAGTTGTTTATTGCTCTACTGCTAAAGATCGCTCCCCTGCTAAAAGTCGCTCCCCTGCTTAAAGTCGCTCCCCTGCTAAAAATCGCTCCCCTGCTAAAAGTCACTCTACTGCTAAAAGTCGCTCTACTGCTAAACGTCTTATGGTTAGGCCTGTATAATGATAATAGTTGCAAAAAAGTTCAAAAGAAATATTTCCAACCTTCCTGGGCTTTTAATGCATCCTCTTCATATTTTTTAAGCTTTGCCTCAAGATCCAGTCTCTGCAACTCAGCCTTTGCCCTCGCTTCCTGTTCCTGCTTCAATCGTTGCCTCTCTGCTTGCTTATTCAATCGCTCTTCTTTTGCCTGGGCTTTCATTTGCTGCACCTCAATCGTGTCTGGTTTGCGCCTTCTCATGTACAGCTCGTGGTTGCCCATACACAAGGCCAAAATTCGCTTGTTGATTCGCAGTCTTTGCACGGTGAAAACAAAGTCCGGTGCTTTTTTGTCGATTGGTTTAATGACGAATTTCTTGTCGTTGAACGAAATGTTGCGGATTTCACTCCAAGGGAAACCAATTTTTGGAGTAAGTCTGAAATATTCATTAAGCTTTAGATTAAGCTTTAGGAAATAGAAGAAACAGAATCAATTAAGCTTCACATTATGCCTGAGAGGATGGTTTTCAGCTTTTATGGTGATGATGATTATTATGAACATTATGATGATGACAGGCACATATACACACGGAAACATTAAGGAGGCATTCACATAAAGCCTGCATCTACGAGATCCTGATTGACAGTGATGGTAACAATAATGAATTCATTCATTCGAGTCATCATTATAATCCTGATGATGAAAATGCAAACTATTTTACGGAAAAAGATATTCGGCAAATGACAATTCGAAAAGAAACGTACTTGTCATTTTGTTCATAGATATTCAAGCCAAGTGCATCGACGCCGAGCCATAACTGCGTTCCTTTCTTATTTTTTATTTCAAAGTAGTTGACACCATACATCTCCAAGTCCTGGCCTATTTTCAGATACTCTAGCATTGCATCTTCCCTGTCAAGTAAATCTAGAACTTTCAGTAAAACATTTTGAAAATTAATGAAAGTGAAGAGATTATATATATACCCAACAAAATTTTGAATGCTCTGACTACCAATACAACCATGTGTATTTAAAGCCAATAAAACCAAAAACCAAAGAATTAAATAAAAAAACACTTAAATACAAGCAGAGAAAGAAGGCAAAATTCTATGATCTATAAAAGTTGACAGCATTCGATGCAGCATAAAAGCAACAAGCAAAGCTTGACTGTCTTTTTTCCTTGCAAAAAATAAAAATATATATTAATAAGGGTGTTGCTCATTCAACATGAATAACTTCGAGCAAATTAATATAAAATTGCATCGGGGGTCCACCCTTGCAAGGTATTGCTCTCGTGAAATACCAGTGCTTAGCATGAAAAGCTGGTTACTACCAACAGCTAAGAATACACCTTTACATGCTTTGTTTACTGATTAAACAATTTTTGTTTGAGGAAAGTAAAGGTTGAAACTTCGGTAATGTTTAACTAGACCAGCAAAAGGATTCGTAGAATTTGCAAAAGTGATTCTCGAGTAGGCCAAACCTGGTCATGTCTGTATGCTCTCCCCACCAAAGCATAATTCGTTCTTCCCATTGCACTTTCGTCAACTGATGCTGATCAACAACCCTATTAAAAAAATATTACTTGCTTAAAAGTGCAGGCCCTTCGCAGAAATACTTGACAGAAACCGTGCATTCTACGCAAATAAGAGCAAATGTTTATATAAACAGCTGTTTAAAGAAACAGCTATTCTATCACTTAATAGCCTTGAAAGTACGATGACTTAATGATTTGAATAAAAACAAATCATCTCCAAAAAATTGGTTTTAAATCATTTTTTGCAGCTTAATAATGAGCGGGCCAGTGTGCCGAGGGCAAAATACAAGCTAGCTGAGGACAATTTTTATACATAAATATTGAACAGGTTAAGAACAATTTAAGCCCAACTCATGACTTGCTAAATTCAACTTAAAATATCAACAAAAGCCAAATGTTTCACCACAAGAGAACATAACTCAGTCCAGATCGATAAGGAAACAAAGCCAGAATCACGGAAGTGACTCGATCTGTTAAATTCATTTAAAGCCACTTGCCTCTGTGGAAGAAGCCGATCGTTCGCTAGGAAGCCTGGTTGGTGAGCCTTCTTATCAAAATCGCCATACTTTGCTTGCATCTGGAAAAACAAACGACTTGCTGTTAATGAAAATGCTTCACATCAGTCTAATATCAGCGTAAAATTTGACTAAAAATACGAAAAATTTAAAAAGGTTTTATGGTTGTTAAAAAAGGAATTTCACTAGCTACAGAGGAAATTATAGAACATCATATTAACTTATTTCTCGTCACATTTGCGTTTAATCAGGAATAGTGATGCAAAGGAACATTGCGCAGATTAAAAGCTTACAGTCTGGAAAGCCAAAAGATAAAACGCCTTGCAAATTACAAATACACCTTGAAATGAGCGATAAATGCTATACAGAAATTCTAAGTTGAAAACAGCATCTTTACAATCACTTTGATTACAAATTTAATCCGGCACTTGAAGAACGGACTGACAATGACCTTACCTTTGCTAAGCTTATAGGAATAAAGTTTTAAAGCACCTTCATGAATTTTAAGTCTTACCACTTGTTACAATTCAATCTAATCAGTAGCTGAGCACAAATGGCAAATGTCTATATAGCTAAAACATCAAACGTGGAAGCAGAAAATGCATGTATCGCTCATAGTTATTATTAAAAATTATTCGCAAAATAATGCAAAAAATAATTCAAATGTTGTGAATGATAGTTGATAATTATAGTACAAGGGCAATACATGGAATTGATTAAAAATGAAACGAAGAAAAAGAAAATAGTCGTCCATATGAGGGCAAAAAGCCTGGAAAACTTGTCTTAGACAGCAATGTCCAAAGTCAGCACTATAGGCCAATCACACTACGGGTCAGATTTTATGCAAGTACAGTGATTAAGTATAAAAGAACGGTGCAAATTTTGCAGATACTTTTGACCTCAAGGTGGAATAACTGTAAACATTTTCTAACCCTTCCATGACAAACGATTGTAAGACACTAGCCACTAACGGAGTCAGCATGACGTCATCACGTTACGACGGCCCTTGAGACATGCATCAAGTCTGTACAGCCATTGCAACAATCAATACAACCTTATCAGAGCAGACAACAAAACGGAATTCCCTGTTACTGTTAAACAGCAAACAATAACTCGATTTAAATAAGGAATTAGTTTTCTTAGAAGCCAATTCTCCAACGTGACACTGGACTACAGATATCACTTGCGACCTCAAATAGAAAAGTACACAATCCTAACTAAATACAACTAGCACATTGGTTTCCAAACGCATGGCGAAAACTTTTCTAAATTTCCGGTACTTTTCTAGTGATGATATGTTTGACACTGATGAGATTTGGAAAAAGAAACAGGAACATCGATTAGATTTATACTTACTGCATAAGAGGAAAGCAGAACAGAAGTTTCTGGTGGGCAATAGACATCACCTGTGAGGATACCATCTTTCACTTGCAAGAAGAATAGTTTCTGAAAAAGCAAGACGATTAATAAAATAGCATCCAGTGTTTCGACTGCAGAAGAAATATGGATGATAATAATTAGCTGTATAGTGTTGTCAAGTGATGACGTCACAAAAATATATTTTTCCAATTTTTGAAATTTTTTCCCAAAACCTGAAAGAGCATCATGAAATAGGTATTACGAATTGGCTGAGATATGACCAGATGAGCACAAGCTCTGGCCCCATCAAACCAATGTAATTTGGTTTCAGTTCATAACTTTATGAACTGAGCCAAAATAACAGTATATAATCCATTAGCAACTTCAAATCTTCTATTGGCCATGGGTCAACCAATTTTTGACAAATTTAATTGATTTTGCATATATGGGATTATTTTGTGGTGTTCTTTTATGTTAAGTGGTCAAAATTTGAAAATTCTGAAAATAGTTTTTTGTGACGTCACACTGGAGAACTCTATCGACAAATGATTATTTTGCATGGGTTGATACAAAACATTTCTATCAGACCTTACCTGGGTGATGTCTTGGATAAGTTCTTCGCTAACATCCTCTGGAAAGAATTTAGCCCTAAATTTGAACTGCAATGTGGTATCTTTTTTAACATCTTGCTGTGTAACCTAAGAGAAAATATGACAAAAATATAAACTCGTGTTCATATGTTATTTACACACAATCTTGCCATCCTATATATTTGGGCATTGGTCAATAGCTACTTTTTTATCATATTTCTTTACAGCTACCTGGCAGCAAAATGTTGATCAATAACATTATTAGTCATTCTTGGAGAATTTTTGTTTTGATCTCTGTAAGCTGATGATTCCATCCAAGGAAAAGGTTTAAACTGTTTTCAGATAAGCCAGACACAATATAAACAACAGAATTATAATTCATGCTAATTGTAATTTATGGATTCCAAAGTGCATGATAGTCTTGACCCATGATGTAATGGCGTTTGAAATGTAGAACCAGGCCAAGACACATGATCACACACCCATGCCTCATCAACCACAAAACGTTTTCAGGATATGTGATTCATGCTCGTTGGTTTGATAAGTTCTGAGGAAGTATTTTGCATGAAGGGCAAATAATGTGTTGCACACATGTTTAAAGAAGATCCAAGAAAAATAAAAAAAAATAAAATTATCACACACAAGCATGATAATGTCACATCACCCTGGTATGCAGGCACTTTCTTTTTATAAAAAGGCAAGGCAAATCTTTGAGACAGGGAATGCACAGCTGTTGGGTGAAGTGATTAACCATAAAACTATGACCCTTGTTTGTCGCATCATTTCTTCAACACTGACATTAATATTCCTCTCAAAAACATTGATAACAAACTGCAGTTAATAACACATTTGGAAATTGTAGTTCTGAACCCTAGAAGTCTAAATCAAACTCATTCACAGCACCATCTTTTCAAATAAACAAATCAAAGTGTGTCAAGTGTTATATGAAAATGAATTGAATATGAAAATTAAACCAAATGGAAAAGAAAAAAATTGAAAAACCACCAAGCAATGTGAATACTACAGATAGGTTTTAAAAGGAAAAGAAAATCAAACTGCATCATTTTAAAAAAACATTTTTACACCCATCAGTTATGCAGCATTAATAAGTGAAAATAGGTTACTATGAACTGAAAATTTTATTTATAAACTAATTGAAATAAAAAACCAAGCATAATGAGTGAAATAAGAAACAAAACAAAAGTGAACTTGGGCGGATATTCCTTTGGACCTTAAATTTTCTTTATACAGGAAGGGCAATCACCTTTGAAACCTTAACCACAGGTGGAGGTGTGGTCTGCAAACCTTGTGAAAATATCTTTATGAATAGGTATGTTGTAATCATGCTTGGAAATAAATGCACATACTAAGGCACTGGAGTAGCCTTTGTGTACAAAAAAACTTAAAAACCTCTCTTCCTTTTTATATAAAAAAATATTACCACCATTCTAGGCTCTTCTTGGGAGACCAAGGTCATGTAAATAGGCTCACCAACAAGTGACACAAACGATGACACAGTCTAAGCTATGTTCTAAAAGCAATGCCACAAAACTGACTGTAACATTTTTGTTCTTTAAATTCAAATGACAAGGACTTATAAATCAGAATAAGATGCCCTTGTTGACACTTACTTTTTTATTTAATTTCAACCAAGTGACATAGCCTTTGAGATCAGTGTATTGGAGGCCAAAAAACCATATCTCTCTAAGGCCAATGGTTTTAACCACCTGTAGAAAAAAAGAAGGTTTGACAAATTGAAAAACATATATATATAAATATTCCACATCAACATTAACCACATATATAATGAAAACCACATGAGTATAAAGTATCTTAGAATAATCATGTTCTTTCAAATATAAACTATAAATTTTATAAAACTGTGTAAGAATCTTTATAGGCACCACATCTTGTTGAAATTTGATGGTCACCTAAGAGTGTTTGCCTGATAAATTGAGCATTGTAAAGTTTCTAGGCAATTGGTAAGCACCTAGGACAAATGTTTGACTCAATTCTATAATTTGCTAGCCTGATCTATAGTCATTAATAGTTGGAAAATTGAGGTTTGTTTGTGTGGAGTGTATCAAGAAAATTATGATTAAAAAAATTTCTATTTGTGGTGATAATTCAATTTTGTTATCATCATAACACCCAATTACAATAATTTTGGATCAACCAGGATAAAACCCTGTTCGGCAGGTAGTCCCTGTCTACTTATGAAAGATATATTACAAAAATAGGACCTACATACATATATGCATTTGATGATCCATTATTAAAGGCTGTTTGCAGTTCCGTTAAAAGAATGTTTAAAATAAAAAGATATAAATCAAATGCCATTAAAAACAGATTTGATCTTTTGAATTTGATTTTACACAGTATAAACTTGCTGTTAAAATGAGTTAGTAAGAATCACTATATGTAACATGATAGTGCTTGATTCACAGAATAACAGAGCAATGAATACAGTAGAAGTATGACCAAAGATGGGGCATTTGTTCTGTGACTCTGTGTTTGATGCTTGCACAATCAAAACCTAAAAGTCTGTCTAGTGAGTAAAGCAAACATTAAATATCATACTTCTACTGTATTTTTTCGAATTATTTTAAGAATAATATGGTGCAAACCTGGTCAAAGAGCTGCTTTCCAGTGGTGTTTTGCTGAATAGCAAATTCCAGCTCTGCGTCCATAGTGGTGACTCGGACATTGATCTAAAAGGGGAATTTGAATGATTTAAAACCTTGATGAATGAATGATCTAAAATTGAACTTTTTTAAATAATCAAAATTTTAATTGCGATATCCTGGACAGGCCATATTTTTTCATCTATATACAAATGAATTTCTATGTCAGAGACTTTTCCTATCTTTTCTCACCTAAAAATACCACAAGCCAGCAATTCTTGGCTGACAATGCCATTTTGCCAATAATCCTAAAATTACTATTGCTATGTCAAAACACATTATTTGTAGCTGGTACTTATCTGCAATAAATAAATTGGTTAATTCAATGTTATCTTGAGAGACTAAAACCATTTCTCAAGACTGAAAGAAACCAGACAACCATCTGCCCTGGATAGCACTTAGTGTGCAGATAGTGTCAAACATAAAAGACATGAATTGACAAACAGGACATCTATCAGACGGCTTCTAGTTTTTGTTTGCAACCTGATCTCTTTTTAAGCCTAATGTCATCAGGGCAGGGAAACAGGAAACAGAAATCTCCAATAATTTACAGAAACTGTAAATACCCACCTAGCACTTAGCAAATTTTGAACTTTTTTAGGGGGCACTTCATTAAGCAGGGTGTTCATTCACACAGGGAACTCATTACAATGCAGTAGCTAATTTATTCTGTAGATCATATCCAACAAGAACAAAAATAGAGGGACAAAAAATTTGAAAAATGAACATAGAATTAAAAGATTCACTTTCAGATTGACATTAGAAAACACTTAAATACCAAGAGTGTCCCAGTTCTTGGAAAAAATTTAGTGTTAGGCTAAACTGATTCTCTTTAGGCCAAACATTTTGAATGAGCTGGAGGATGGTTATTTGAAGGATGGGGTGCTCATTTGAGGGGTGGGTTCATTAAGTTTTTTATTGCTTTGGGGGTACTCATTTGTGCAAGCCACTCTTTCAATGTTGCACCAACTTAAGGATTTACAGTAAACCTATACATAACCCTAGCTACAAGTAACTTTTATCAGGCCTTGCACTAAACAAAATGAAGGTGCTCCATAAAACAAGCTCCTAAGAAACTCAAGGCACACTATTTCACGCTTCTATGTATTTGCAAATTGCCATTTGCAAACATTTGCATTTTTTCTTAATGAAAATGTGTCAAACGTTTTGCGTCCAGATGGAAATGATGCATATTAAAATGTGGTTTTATACAATATTATTTTCTATGCACAGGATGTAATTTTTTGATTCAAAAAGGTATTATTTTAGACATGGCCTTAAAAGGAACTGGATACAAAATCTAGTCATCTAAAGATTAGTGGTAAAAACTCTTTTATAAATCTCATAGACCAAAACATTTCCGTCAATTGAGAAGATTGTTTAATTTTAATAAAAATTAATTTCAGACAGTATTCTGCTGGGGAGCAATATCATTTTTCATTTTCAGGCGCTCGTTAAATGGCTCTCCATGGCTTCTTTTAGGTGCACTTTAGGCGCTCGTGCTTGATCAAGCACTTTCCAGGCAAAGCCTGCTTTTCTGCAAGAAATAATGTTACCAGCCATTACACTGACCAATCTGCTGAGTAGGGCAGTTCTAGCATATGTGGAGTCAATTCAGCCACATTTCTGTGTGCAAAATTTCTACTATCAATTACATGCATTCAAACATAAGCTTTTCCACAGTAGGGTAATTGGAAATTTGGTGAGCATTTTGATGTGTGGCTGACATACTTGTGGCATCTAGCAAATTTACAGTGACTGAAATTCTACCAAGCAACAATTTTTATGAGCGCTTTATCAAATTTTGATATAAATATAATGCTTAAAATATTAAGTAATGTTTCATCAGTACTAATCCAATATGTAAGTTGCATGTGGTATATACTTTATCCAATAATGAAAATATAATGAGCAACTATCATGATTTTCATCAGTACTGTTCTGGGTAAAAATGGATCTAGCAAAATTTGCAATGAGGTTTTACAAATGTACATTAAAATTCAAACCAATTCTGGTTGTATATACATTTCACTTGACATATAACAAATCTGGAAGTTTTTGACTGATACATAAGTTGAGATGCTTGAAAATCTTATAACCACAATGGTAGCATGGTGTAGAGTAAGATTTTTCAAATCATAAACTCTAGTGTAATGATCTTTAAATGTGCTACAAGGCTAAGAAAACTTGACAACTCAAATCAGAAGCTTTACAAACAAGCAGGTTTTGACACAAAATCACAACAGATACCCTTAAAAGTGTGTAAACAGGTGACAAGGAAGTAAAATAAACTGAAAGGAGGAGCTGCAAACTTTTAAGAGCTGTTAAGGAAGGTAAATTAGAATAAAGCTGCCAATCACCAATGCTGGTTGATGCCTATGGATGAATAAAAGACTTATTGGGGTTCAAATAAAACCTTCTTGTCTCTTGATGATAACATGCTTAGAAATTATTTAAGACTCGAGTCTTTTGTATGACAAATGATAAAAAAATAAAATCAAGGTTCTTTTAATCAGTCGTAATGTTTTGTATCTTTAGACCGTCAGGACATATTTCTGCTTGATCACTATTTTCAAGGCAGAATGCAAAGTTATTAGTCTCCGTAATTTGAAACCTGTGTACTTTTACTTCGATTCAATACTTACATGTTTCAAACGCCAATTAAAACTACAAATTTAATCTTTTAAAACAAAAAGGTAAATTCAAAAGCTTTTGGTAAATTATAAATGAACTGTTGTACAACAAAAACCTTCCAGTGCTGTAAAATGTGGCGCATAACTGATCAGGATTATAATCGATAAAGATTAATCCTAAATAGAAAAGGATATGGCTTATTCTGAAGAGAAAACTAACATTTGCCCACTTATGATGTTTCGGTCAAAAGTTATGCAGTAAATTTACACCTTTTTCAACATAATTTACATTTCTAAAGGAACATATTAGTAAATTAATGGGGTAGAAACAACTATTAAAAAGATGACGAGGAGATTAGGTTTAGTTCATTAATTGCGCTGATGACAGAAAGGTCTTTACATATTAGCAAACTTGGAAAAAAGAATCAATTAGAAAACTAACAGGTATCTAAGAACTTACTGCTTTCGGCATCTTTGTTTCTTATGTTCGTTCACCAAATTATTCAGTGGAAGCTAGGCCAGCGAGTACAATCCTTCCGGCTTGTGTACTGTGTTTCAACGGCTGTGCAAATTCACTTGGATTGGAGACAGTGATTCGAGGAAATATTATCACAAACGATAAACTTGACTTAAATAAGACTTGTCGCATGCAGTCAAAAATGTTTGATTATCCCTCATTCAGCATACCCTCACGACCAAGAACCTCCCCGCCCTGAAGCCTACCAGTCAACACTCAAGCATGCCTCAAGCTACCCGTGGTTTACCCGCAGCGATTCATCGCAAATAATCGCATATAAACAATAGGACAAAATCTATCCCGCGGGAAGAAAGCTGTTACTCATAAATGGCTTGTGATGACTAATACGGTCTAATCGGACATAGCGATCTAATTGTAACCAGGAAGCAAGTTGCTGGACAAAAGGAATTCAATTTTTCGAAATTTATGTTGTGTGATGTGTGTGATGACCAATGAATCATGATGCAATTACATTTCGAATTTTGATGGCGTCCATCTTCAACTTCCGCTATAAAAATATCTTGCGCAATACACAAGGATCACTCCCAATTTTTCTTTCCTACGTCATTTGATCTGTGTCGATGATTTTATGGTTTTCGGATCATAGACAGGGGCTTATTGTATTTTGCGAAAATTTTCGCATAATGCGAAAATGCGAAATTTCGCAAAATACAAGTTTCGAGGTGGTATTTTGTAAAATGCGAAAACTGATTCTAAAAAATTTATTTGCCCAGATCAACGACCGAAAACAAGCAATTCATATTCAGGGCGACGCTGTTCATGCAAATGGCCTAGTTCATGTCCCATTTAACGTTAGATAACTCATGGACACATTTTGGAAAATGATTCAAAAACCAACCACACCAAGGCCATGAACGGCCTAATTGTGAATTGCCCATTCCAGCGAAAGACGATAACAGTAAGCATCCCGGTGCTTGCTAATTGGTAATTGGCAAATATCCAAAATTCTGCGTGTTCTGTGTTGTTTTAGGAGTAATTTACGCCTTTATCCACAAGGCCTATTTTCCTGCTTCCTTTCCGGTGAAACCCGCGTGGCTGGAAAAGGACGGGGGTGATGTCAAAGATTTTCGCAAAATACAAAATGGCTGGGGGTTTTTGTATTTTGCGAAAACTCGCCAAACATTGTCGAAATGTTAGTTTTTATTTTTGTAAATGTATGGAAACGCTTTGGACTGTATTTAAAATTTTGTTTATTGAGTAGGCATCAAAAGATTCGATCAAATTAAAGAATTTTCGCAAAATACAAAATGGCTAGGGGTTTTTGTATTTTGCGAAAACTCGCAAAACTTTGTCGAAATGTTAGTTTTTATTTGAGAAAATGTACGGAAAGTCTTTGGACTGTATTTAAAATCGTGTCAATTGAGTAGGCATCAAAAGATTCGATCAAATTAAAGAATTTTCGCAAAATACAAAAACCCCCAGCCATTTTGTATTTTGCGAAAATTCTTTAATTTGATCGAATCTTTTGATGCCTACTCAATTGACACGATTTTAAATACAGTCCAAAGACTTTACGTACATTTTCTCAAATGAAAACTAACATTTCGACAATGTTTGGCGAGTTTTCGCAAAATACAAAAACCCCCAGCCATTTTGTATTTTGCGAAAATCTTTGACATCACCCCCGTCCTTTTCCAGCCACGCGGGTTTCACCGGAAAGGAAGCAGGAAAATAGGCCTTGTGGATAAAGGCGTAAATTACTCCTAAAACAACATAGAATACGCAGAACGTTGGATATTTACCAATTACCAATTAGCAAGCACCGGGATGCTTACTGTTATCGTCTTTCGCTGTAATGGGCAATTCACAATTAGGCCGTTCATGGCCTTGGTGTGGTTGGTTTTTTAACAATTTTCCAAAATGTGTCCATGAGTTATCTAACGTTAAATGGGACATGAACTAGGCTATCTGCATGAACAGAGTCGCCCTGAAGATGAATTGCATGTTTTCGGTCGTTGATCTGGGCAAATAAAGTTTTTAAAATCAGTTTTCGCATTTTACAAAATACCACCTCGAAACTTGTATTTTGCGAAATTTCGCATTTTCGCATTATGCGAAAATTTTCGCAAAATACAATAAGCCATAGACAGGAAATACGAGCGGGCAGGGGGGCAGGGGCGGATCCAGAGCACATAACTTTGAGGTAATCCTTGAAGCAAATTAACCTATCGGTCTCAGAAACTTTTTCACCTGATTCTCATTCTTCAAAAGGGGCGCACAATTTCCAAAAAGGGGCGCCAGACTTGCTTCAACAAGGGGGGCAGTAGCCGCCTCTTAATTCCGCCACTTTTCCTGAAACGTCGTAAAAACAATAGATACTATATGAAATAAATTCTTGCAGAGGAACCCCTCTAATAGGAACGAGTGGGCAATCGAAAAAAGTTAAGGAACCTTAATACTAAAAAAAACAAAAAAAATTAAGAAACCACTGAAATTTGAAAAAGGCAAGAACTCTGAAATTTCTTGAAAATCCACCAATGTGATTGACTGACTGGCATAATTTAAAATTTACATACAGAATGAAAATAAACTTCCCCCTCTAAGTTCGGAATTAGAACAGGTGGACCGTTCTAAGTAATATAGCATATAAAATTATATGAAATACAGTTTAATACAGTATCTCCAAATAATGCATGTGTAAAGTTTTAAACACGCAGCATTTTCAGACCTTCCCATCCTACAAACTTGATATGGCAAAAAGCCCACGATAATGCTGTTACCTGGTCAGACGGGGAGTGCATTTTCGAATTTTGGCCCTTTAAGTTCGCTGATAATGCACCTTTACGGGAAGCAATACAATGGGCAGCCCGCCCCCCAGATGAATTTTGTTCCCACAGCACTGTACAACCTTATTACTCTAAAAAATGAATATCCATATGTGAAGCTATTTGATGGTAACAATTGAGTTTCTTGTGTTGTTGTTATATGTTTTAGCCGTTAGTGTTATATGTTAAGTTGTTATATCAATTTAAGAACCATACTGTAAAGGGGCCTATGAAGTTATAACTGGTCTTTGCACGATTTATTTGTGATGCAGTTTACTGCAATATTGAACATTGCTGCTTTTTTTATTTTCTTGATAAAAATTAAAGCATTTTGTGCTCATGACATTTACGATCCAATTTCACTGCATCCCTGCTCCCAGCAACTGCATCCCTACCCCTAACCACTTCATTCATGCCCCAGCCACTGCAACCCTTTCTCAGAGACTGCATAAAATGTGTTAGGATCGTTTCACTTCACAAACTTAAATCATCGAGTTTTGGCTTAATTTCTGTGGAAAGGGGAAGTAGCGAGTTTTGACTTAATTTTCGTGGAAAGTTTATTGAAATTGTAGCTATTGCAAATATAGACAGGACATATAGCCTGACAACCTGACATTCAAGCTAATGTTTACTTTTTCAGCGAATTCTTGTAGTAGGGAGTCCAGGCTCTGCCGGGTGACTTTTTTTAAAATACCTGGATGCCATGTGACTGATGACGTCATTTAACGGTAAAAAGTCAGACAAAATCATTGCTAGCTCTTTACTGGAGTGCTATTTTTTGACACAAATTACATATTTTGCCTCGTCTCGCTGCAAGCTTTCAATTGATGTATATTTAAGCATGATTTGCCGACATCAGTATTGTCATTTTGACGTCATCAAAAATTTTGCATCATGTCATCAAAGATTTTATTGTCATAATGCCAGCAAAAGCATTTCTTCCATAATTTTTTCATTCAAATAATTAGTATTTAGATCATTTGAATTAAATTTGTGCAAACCGCAATAGCCAAGGAAGTTCAAACAAGGTAGTCACTATCTGACGAGTCAGATAGTCATTATTGTCTGGTTCAGAGTCACGGTCCAACTCTTAACCGGACAATAAGTTCTCTGCATTTTCATTTGACTTTTGCACTGAGTTGGAAGAATGTCTTCGCACTATTATAGGCTGTCCAAAATGTCTTCGCACTTTAGGTCTTAAGCGCTCGGTATGAAGGTGCATGATTTTCTTAATGGGTAAATTCATCTTTTGGGTCATCTTCATATCCTTGTGCTGTAAAGGAAGCTTTCTTTTCACACCTTGGATGTCTTTTTTACTTCTTTTGAGTTGGGGAAGCTGCTTTTCTTGTGGACCATCCCAATTTCAACTGCAGGCTTTTGGGACATGTCTTGTAGTGGTTGCACCTAAACACTGTAGCCACAATAACCTTGTTAAGTTGACACAATTTAATTCTTTTCTGATTGAATAATTTTGGATCTGCTGGAACTGCTGCAGATGATTTTGTTTTTTATATTTGATGAATACGAATCCTTGTCCCTAAATAGCTTTTATAAAGTGTTTCACTCTATTCTACAGTTTCGCGAATGCCTCTGCGTCTGCAATAACTCTTTCTGAGAGATTTTTATTGAGGCCAATGTCTTGTATAAGCGCACATTGTTTGTCATTCTTCATCAGTTTTTTCATTACAGTAACCAGTAAGCCCATAATTCCATGGACCTGTGGGAAAACACAGCAAATTTTGGAACCAAAAGTTTCAGCGATGCCTCAAATCTCGACGATTTGCTTGTTGTTTATGCACATAAATCACTCATTTGTGGGTTTGCACTTCTGTATTGCATGAACAAGGAGCACAAATACATCAGTATCCTTCGCAACAACAACTACTTTTGCATCTTTCAAGTTAGCATGCAAAATCACCCTGGTTTCAACCTTTTTGTGGTTACATCTTGGAAGGACTTCTATTTGCTTTTTGAAGTCTCCCATGCTTCTTTTCCGTAAGTTATAACCAATGGAATTGTCTGAAGCCTGTGACCCTCGGCGCTTCGATGTTTGCAAATACCTTTTTACCTTGGAGTATCTTTTGCTCTAAACTTTTTTTATGCACTTGCCTTAATGACTTAGCTCTCCATTGTCATACGCACAAAAATCCAAGAAAACATCGAAAGCAGTCTCAATAACGAACGAAGACCACCAAGCTTTCGAGACTGGCAAGGCTGTCTCTATCGAAAAGACATTTGCACACCTCATCAGAATCATGGCTCTAGTCTTGCAACTCCTGAAGGGGTACTGTGCCAATGAGATGAAGCTGTTCTTCTGAATTTCATGTGCAAGGAGTCAAATCCATGTGTAAATCCACCACCAGAGAATGCCAGATGAAGTATTGATGAGATGGTCATATTTCGCAGCAGAAAAAAATCCTATTGAAAAAAGTCATGTACCTTCAGCCCAGCGCGAGGGATTCCTGGATAGCCTATAGTTTCAAGACATTCTTCCGACTTAGTGCAACAGTCAAATGCAGATGCAAAGAACCATTGTCCGGTTCAAAGTGGGAGCAAGACTTGCAACTACGGAGGAAGAAGTGACTGACTCGTCAGATAGCACTAATTTATTCGAACTTTGGTTACTGCAGTTCGCACAAACGTAATTTAAATGATCTAAATACTAATTATTTGATTGAAAGAATTATGGAGGAAATGCTTATGCTGACATGGATGTCAGCCTCGTATTAATACAAGTTATGCCAACGTATCATTTTATGACAATAAGATCTTTGATGACGTCATGCAAAATTTTGATGACGTCATAATGAAAATACTGATGGCGGCAAATTATGCTTAAATATACATCAATTGAAAGCTTGCAAGGAGACGAGTCAAAATATGTAATTTGCGTCAAAAAATAACCATCCAGTAAAGAGCTAGCGATTATTTTGTCTGATTTTTTACCGTTAAATGACGTCATCAGTCATGTGACACCCATGCATTTTCAGAAAAATCACCTGGCAGCCTGGAGTCCGTACTACAATAATCTGTTGAGAAAGCAAACATTAGCTTGAATGTCAGATTGTCAGGCTATATGTCCTGTCTAATAGTGAAGTCAATAGATGGAAGCTAAAATTGCCACTATGTTGATTGACCATCAACTCTTCCTGCTTTATCAGACTTTCGAAAACTCTTGTTTGTGGATAAAATCTTTGAGATCCTTTCACTTTATGCAATAATCAAAGGCACCAGCTGCACTAGCCTCATCAACATCAACGACATCGATCGTTTTAATTCCTAGGAATATCTGCTTTATTAGTCGACTAAGTGACTAGCATAATAAGAAAAACGCCTTGCATATAAATGACCAAAGTAATTTTCTTCGCCGTTTTTGGGCGGAACAGAGATGCGTTTATGATCTCCAAAGCACAAAGTTTATTGTCCTGGCTAGGCTATTGAAATAATAGAGTACAAAAATGTACTATTATTTCTAAAAAAAACTATCTGCTGAGAGCTGAGCAAGCTACGTTTACAACAACAGTACATCTCACTTGTCACATTTAGTCCTACATTTACAGCACCAAGTCATAATACATGGCGATTGTTTACGCTGCTTCGTTGGAAGTTAAAATCAGCAAAACGCTTGCTGAAAAACTAATTTCGCTAACCATGCCTTTCTTGAAAAGTACAATTTCTTGGTGTTTTTAGCAAGTCAAAAGCTCTTGTGCAACCGTCATGCTTAGCGGCAGTTGTCTTGTGCAACCGTCATGCTTAGCGAGAAATTGATTGTGTTTGTATTTTCATGCAGTACGATATTAGGCCGGTTTTTGAATTATAGTCGCAAAGCTTGCCGGTTGCGCAAGAGCTTTTAATGCTGATGGAGGCTCAGTATTACCAAGTGAAAGAAAATCGGAAAAAAATGATTCGATTTCAAAAGCTTTTGTTAATGGAGCACAATGGATGATGGCCCGAAAAAACGCAGCTCTCACAAAAGCAGAGCTAAACTGATGCTTCGAATTTCCATCAACTTTAGGTTTCCTGAAACGCGGGGCCTTTTTAGAAGAATAAGAGCTGATCTAGTTTATTCCTTCCAATCCTATTCATATTCGTACTGAAAGTACTAAAAGGGCAAACACAGGATTAAAAAGCTCCAAAAAAGCTAGGCCTACGTGGGATTACAGAGCTTTAAAAATCACTGTAATCTTTTTAGGTCATTTCAGGAGCACCAGGCATATAATGTCAAACGTAATCCATATTCCTTTGTAGTCCACTCATGCGATACATAAAATAAAGAGGAACAAGTTTCTTATCTCATCTCACTTTTCAATAATGTTACATTTTTATGAAGGTTATAGGTAATGCATAGTTAATACCTCACGAAATAAATACATTTCAGAACCAATAGTCATGGTTTAAACAACACAGCATTAAGAATAATTTGATTGTTAAGTTTGTAAGTATGGCGAGTTCAAAACAAGATTATCAAATTTCTGTCTTATATACATTTAAATAAATTTTCATAATAGGATTCAAGGTCACTTTTTGATGATTAAAAATTAACAACAGAACCACACACCCTAAGATAGGTAGCTTGGGTACATGTCACGAAGGTTCTTGTCGAAAGAGAGTAAAGGATACTCCTTACGGGCTGGGTGAACAAAGAAGGGTTTTTTGTTGAATGAGCCATAAAATTCTAGAGAAAAACATTAATAAACGTAATGTTTTGAAGACCAGATAGGGCATCCTCTTTTCACAGGATATTCCTGTAAAAGATCAACTAAACTGCTGTTTTGGTTTTATTAATAACGTCATAATTCAGTGTTAGGAATACTGTGCATGTCAAAAAGCATCTTCTTCCTCGCTCTTATCTTCTTTTGGGGTCCCTCTCTTAGATGACTTTCGCCTGCAAATAGCATAGAAATAAAATGTTACGTCATGGCGTTGTGAATATATTCAAATTACATTTAAATCTCCTTTTGCACTTTCAAAATGGAGGCTTGGCTTGAGCGTGGAAATCAGATTAATCAGTACGTGATGTATGGAAAAAAGTTAGTTAATTCTTAGGTTTACAATACGTAATCTTAAGATTTATTCTCTTTTCGTTATTGATTGATTTTTCGCGTTTTTTATGCATTAAGCATAGTCCCAATATGCTTGTTTGATTCAAACATTCAGGTTAACACTGGTAGAAGGTCTACTGCCATGAACGAGAATCTCAAGTTACAAAAATATCGACTCCTGAAAGTTATCAGTCTACTGGAGAAGATTATCAAGATTGGCGCTTTTCAAATACAATTAATCGATCAAATAACGTGAGTTCGGTACAAAATGAGAAGGCCCTTTTAACCGGACTATTGACTTTATCAACCGGATCATGACACTTTACTTTTTTTTACATTCGAAACAAATGATTTTCCATCCCAAGAAATTTTATTATACATTAGCCCAGCTTTGCAAACATTTACAAGGCAAACATGTACAATGGCTCACAGGTAATTTTTACGCCCAAGGTAAAAACTTCTGCACAGTCACAAAAGATTGATATTCGAGGGAACCATGGCTTATTTTGAAGCGCTGTTCTGTTTACCGAGCACCAAAAACTTATTGAATAGAGTTGCAGGAGGATTTTTTAATGCAATGCGGATCAATTTATCTATATCCAGCAATCGCAAAGAATGGCATACATACCCGTAAATAACATCTTCATCTGAATCATACAACATTGTGAATGATGTGTTGTCCCTGTTAAGTGCATCTACGAGTGTGAAATGTAAACAGATGTCACTCTTCGTGTATTGGCTATGGGGAGGGGATGGTTAAACTAGAAGCTTTTCTAACCAGAGGACGTTACAATTTGAAACTTAAACAGTTTTTGTAGTGATCAAATGAGAGTACTGCCGCATTGATGCAGAACCTCATGTTTTTAAAGAATAGCTCCTACTGTTTTGGACAGACGAAGATTTCAGGGCCCTTCAATCAAGTATGAAATTATAAGGAACTCAAATGGTCGAAGTAAAGCATAAGCGGTAAACAAAGCAAAGCCCACGTGATAGGCAGAACAGTGCTGGTGCGATAGGCAGAGCAGAACCAATTCTTCAGGTTCAATTCATACTTTTACTGGGTACGGAGACAGTAATTCAACGATAACATTCTATTTTACATAAAAATTGGTAGCTTACAAAGCAATTTTAGTACAAATGTACCAACAAATATGTAAATAAAAAACTTAAAGATAAAATCAATCCTGATTGCATTAAAATTCTGGTTTATAAATTAAGTCACGGTGTTATCTAGAAAGACGTACAAAAATATTTTAGAAAAAAGTCGTTTTAGGAAAAACATATTTAGGCCCGAAATGCGCAATACCTGTCAAAGGCCTGTAAAAGCCTGATTGCGTTAGAGCTCTTTTGAAACAACTAGCAGTTTTCTGCATAGAAGACTGACACAGAACATCATAACTATCTGACAGGAATTTTGGGACAACACCGAAGTTCTTAACATTGAGTAAAACAACATTGTTCGGAGGTGGTGACGGGGGTGCGTTTTACAATGTGCAAAAATTGCATACCAACACGAATGGCATGGAAACTAAAAAAACGGTTTCAGCAATTTTCAAAATGACAGTTAAAGGCATTGAGTCATGGTAAATAGGCCTTCTCTATAGGGGGTCATTTGGTTTCGGCGTGATCGTTGCTGTTTCACGTGATATTGGCATCCGTTGTTGACAACTTGCTATTGATGGAAACTGTTTTGTTAATCAGTACGAGGTGAGTTCATGTGACCAGATTAAGGTCAACCAATAGCATCGCAGTCATGAAAATCGTGACTCAGCGGATTTTGGCACTTTGGGTATACCCAATCCATTTTATCATGACTCAATGCCTTAAAGTAAGGAAATAGTCAATCAAAGAACAGGTTTTTACGACTGTAAACATCGTGGACACTCAGAGGAAACCAAGATGAAAACAGACAGGATAAGATAATTTTTTTACTATGACATCTTTATATTATCTCACTTAACTGGAATATTATCAATAGCCCGTTATATGTTTAAAAGATCTACCAATCATTGATTGTTAATATACCAAGTTAATAAAAAAATACAATTTTACAGAAGACAATTTGGGAAATGTTCTGATTGCCGGGAGGACAAAGGTTTTGATAAACACAAATTGAAACTTAGTTTCGAGTCAGTACGACACACAGACAAAGAATAACAGAGAAAGAAAACCGACAGTTACCTTTTACTGCGCTCTTTGATGGTGAATACACAAATGCCATTGTGTAGAGGTAAAAATTAAATAAACCATAAAAGCACAGGAACTCCGCAGGTAAATTATGTCAAGGGCAATAGCAAAGCGTGTAAATTCCTTTATAAAAAGTGAAATAATGAAAAGAGCTAGTCAAGACTAAGATCAATAATTAGTTTGGGTTTATAATAAATAGAACAATTAGAACTAAAAATTGCTATTGGAACTAAGAACTATCAACACGAGATAGTTGCAAATGATAACCAAAAGATAACTTAACTAATGTTATCAAAAGGAAAACTGAACAAGAATAAGCTGAAAATTTTTTCTGAAAGTTTGCTTTACCCCAAATAATCACTGAAAATGAGCCAGAGTAACCCCAAATACAATTCATGAATGTAAAATAATACTAAATTTTACGTTGTTAGATAGAATTTTCACTTAGCACATTTTATTGTGAATAAGGGATTTGTTCCGAGAGGAATAATAAGAATTTTGCTTCGAACTGTTTGAAAAAATTGTATTCTTATTCTTGAAGGCTCTTGCGCAACCGACATGCTTTGCGACTGTAATTTCAAAACCGGCCTAATATCGAATTGCATGAAAATACAAGATAAGGTCAATTTTTCATGACAGCTGCCGCTAAGCATGCCGGTTGCGCAGGATCCTTTAAATTGAAGGGAATAGAGCAGATGAAGCAAAAGCAGCACAAAGACGATTTATGATTATTGAAAAGATATAATTTTGGTACTGCGTCGTGATTTCAGCAACGAAGTTATCTTGAACGATAGCAGTTCCAAATCTCATACCAGTGGCTGTTAGACTAAAGAGAAAAATTTCGCAGTTTGTAAATATTTTCAGATGAATCTATAAAGGAGAAAAGTAATTTAGGCAAAGAAGCCCCCCCCCCCTACCTCGAATAGGCTCCCATCCAAAAATATCAAAAATAAATAAGCCCCCAGGGGGGCTAATTCGAGGATTTACAGTATATGACATATATATCATACTCTATCTCCGGACTGTAGCGGGTAGGGAGACAGGATGTGTGCCTCCAATAATCAAAAGTGATTTTTTCAAAAAATCCTGTGAATTTTGCGAGAACTTTTTGATGACATTAGTTCAGTTCGTGAGCCCTTAAAAGCGCCTCGGCGAGTTAAAGTGACCACGCGAAGCTTGACAATTGAATGGGAAAATAATTCTGGGAATTTGATGTACCGGCCTGGGTTCAGATCGATGAACAGTAGGTCTATATCTTATCCTGAATACCGGATTTTTTATAAGCACCCGGTAATTATACTTTACTTAAAATATTAACAACAAATCGGTAACGCGGCAAACGAACGCGAGGAAAATTTTTAAAAGCAACACAACTTTATTCACAACATCATGACCAAGCCATTTTTCACTCGCTGTTGAGGAAGGTTTTCATAGTTTGGCTTGTTTGCGAGAGGGATAATGAAATCTTTCTAGATCACAATCAATATTCGTAACACAGGGTCCCAAGCATCTCACTCAAGAGTAAAATCACCAGCAGTATGGACGATATCATCGCTGAGCAGATGTTTTGAAGCATTTAAATTAAATCCGAAAGACTTCCTTTGTAACATTTATTGCAAAACTTCAAACAGTTTTATCAATAAGTAGATTTCATGATAAGAGATAACTCTCTTTAACCATAAAGGGATTTTGAAGACGTCCTATTGTGGCAATCGTTCTTCGCACAAGGAATTAAGGATAATTGGGTGGTGCAAAAAGAAGTCTAAAATTCGATCGACGAGGGACGAGCTTGTTTAACGAAATAAAACATTACTTAACCTTAATATTACATCCAGCTGTATATACACTATGTCAAATTATATTAGTTTAAGCAGTACATGGAGAATAAGACATGGTTTTAACATAAATTTGTGCTTTGTTGAATGACCTTGTTAAAACAAAGATGTTGTCAGTTCCTGCTGTTAATTCTAAGTAGCCACTACAGAGTGGTTGAATCAAACAGCGCTTGAACGAAATGAATAACGATTTTGCAGTCAAACTCCATCTTTGATGACAATCTAAACCTGTGCTCGTTGCTTATCTTGAGGTCAGCTTGAAAAGTAGTAAGGAAGTGGAAAAACAAACAAGTTGCACCGTTCAATTTATTGACCCAGGGTTGTTCAAATAGAAAATTAACTGAGCTGGATAACTTGTTATCTGGATTTATATTTCTAGTGGAAAAACTAATCTTAGACCAAGAAACTCTTTCAAATAGGCTATTACGAAAAACAGTAAATCACCTTCAATCAATTCTTGCTAATTGCTCTTTAATTAGAAATCAACCTTACATGTTTTTACTGTTTGTACTTTGGAATCTCAAATTTTTCATTGTTCCAGATTTAGAGCATCAACTCAGCCTGTTCTGCTTTAGGAATCAATATAAACTATGTGGATCAGCGACGGTCAGCGGTAGGTAAATCACGTGATTTTGTAACAAAATTGGAAGAGACTTAACAACATACCACAACACATATATAGCAAGCTTGAAATAGCGACTGACAACGCTCTAGAGTAGGGGAAGACTTACATGCTCATAACGTAAAGTTTATCAACAGAACCGATGGAATTATCTACAATAGATCATGTACAAACAAAATCCGTCTGAGAAAAGTAAATCTTAGGAAGCAGTGTCGAATACATTAATAATCAATGTTAAAGAGCTCCAACAGCGATGCTGGACAAGTTGAACATCAATTTTTGGTGCCATTTTCGGCCAGCCTCGACCTCAATATGTTTTGCAGCCACCAAACGCTTACTAAATTCGGGGATCCATCAAAACCCTATAATGTTTTCTGGAATACAGCTTTTACAGACCTTCTGAAATTACTTACTGTGATTGGTTGCATTCCTTACGTTTAATGGAAGCCAGGCTTTCAACAGAAGAGGCTGAGTTTACAGTTCATCCAGTTGCACAGTTATTGGATGTTTCGAACCTTAAGGAAGTGGGATTAGACTAGACCCAACCCAAATTTCTTTCTAATGTGCATCGTGTTTGAGTGAACACTTTACAATAGTTGGGTAGCATGCAATTGGTCTGGTGTACTCAGCAGTGTAGACATGGAAAGAACAAGTAGCTCACCTAATAGCAACGACACTGAGCATTAAGCCAGTCAGAAACTTCACGCGTACATCTAAAAGAGATTGATTAAGATGAAATACTTAGAACTGAAAAAGCGGACGTTACGATGCATGTTTTTTTGTAAATAAGCAGCTTAAATAGCAAAAGTAATAGCAAAAATTAATCATTAATCTCTGAACTGTGGCTTTTGTTCAATAATTGAGAATATTCAAATAACTTAACAAATAATGCAGCATAATTTATTGCGATGAAAGCAGATTTTGCGATCTAACAGCAGATTTGCATAACTAGGCGTACATCGAGTTCACATTGTGACCTATCTTAAGCAAACAAATTTATCAGTATGACAGGATTGCTTTAACGTTCTCTTAACATTATTGATGCTAATTTTATTTAGAGTTTTCGATGATCTTTCTTAGACTACATCTAGCATTAAAATTCAATATTGCTCAAAGTCACAAGCCATATTGCTCAAAGTCATCATGATTAAATAGGATAATAAAAACATGAATAATACAGTGATCGTACGATAAATAGAAATACATAAAAAGCTAGATAAAGGGCTACATGGAAAAGTTTCTTACAACAATACCCAGAACGAATTAATACATCAAACAATGGAAGTACAGAGAACAAATTGTGTAGTATGAAGTTACAACTTACCAAAATATGGCATGTTTCGCAGCTCAAAGTAGGCCTTCACAATCAGAATTATCAAGTAAAGCAAGTAAATACCACCGACAATGAAGAAGAAAATTTTCAAACCCTAAAAACAAAGAATGAAAGAAAGTGAGTACCGAGTAAACAAAGACGAGAGGACGCAGGGCAGTCAAAAGCCACCATACATCTCTGCTCCAAGGATTAACCCGTGTCTTTAAAGGTCACAATAGGCCCCGCATCAATATATAAATAAATCTTGATACAGGCCTAAACAAACCCCAGTACACCTCTTTATGGATCTCCCAATACCCCTTTTGCACGCCAGCCCGTTATTTGCTGAGTTTGGTAAAATAAAATAATAAAATGTTTGTATTATGAGATAAAAAACTGTCCTACAGTTCTAACCTGAACGCAATATAAGCATGAGTACGATAAATATTTAGTGCGTCTTCGCTTTAAACCACTAAGTTAAGAGGTTTTCTCGATTTCAATACAAAACATTTGCAAAGAGTCTAAGCTTGGATATTACAGATTAAAGATATGGCTTTGTATTTTATCATTTCTGGTTTGTTGAACGTTCAGAAATGATAGACCGTACTAGCCAAAATCACCGCAAAAATTCTACAGATAACAGAGAACAAAATTAGCTGGGTTTGTGGCTTCTATCTCGCCTTGCCAAAAATAAATATTCAATTGAAATCTGAATCTGAGAAAATATCCAACAGACTAACGAATGGGTGGATCGGAAAATAAGCACGACTGTGCTAACAATATGGAATATAACAAACGCTGGAACCAATAAAAAAGGAGGTCCTTGAGATGCTATGGGCAACAAAAGTAGAACATCTTTGAAGATAATTCTAAATAAAACTTTTAAGGAAAGGGTGTTTATATGAGAACACCACGATAATTACAGTTTTGGAGAAAAAGAAATCAAGCCCAATCATCAGCTAAAAAGTTGACTCAGAGACAAGTAAAAGCTTTGAATTCGATAAAGAAATCTAAAACAGCCTCAAAGAAGTTGAAATTATCGAATCTTTAATAGCTATGTACTTTACAGGATCGATTGAAAGAACAAAAATCTTTAGATAAGAAGCTTCCCAACTAGTACTTAACTGGTCTGGAAGTCAGTTAAACAGCCAGATAACAAGAGTTAGATAACAATCAAATGAATAAAAATAAATGAGTGCATATTTTTCATTTGAAAAACGGTACAATCAAAGAGGCTGAAAAAGCTTACCACAAAATGACCAATATCAACTTTGTATTGATATGAAGGATCAAACAGCTCATTGTGTCTAGAGAAAAGTACAGTCAGATGGTAAACAACGAAGCTACAAACCATTTTTGCATAAGAGCTTAATCGCTATACCTGTTTACTTGAAAAGTAAGAACCCTGTAGCAAACATTTGATAACGAATACATATTCTCTATTCTTGGCCTAACTGAGACCCATTTTCATTTGTCACAGTGCAAAAATTCTTGTGGGAAAATGCCATCTAAACCTATTGTTGCATCTTCTAGCTCTAAGTTATGACTGAACCATGAAAGTATCGTAGAAATTTAGTAACTGGAAGCTTGGTTTCCAGCAAGAATAAGCGGAAAAGTTGCTTGAGACTAAAATAACATTAGACACCAGGCAAAGGTATCTTCAAATACAATGAGCAGTTAATAATCGAACAAAACTTACTGTTGCCAACCCAGCAAGACACATCCTATGACCCACATTATTCCAACGATCATAATTTTTGGAAGGTAAAAACCAACAAAGGTTCTTTCACTCTAAAAAAAGCAAAATGATGTCCTTTGTTATCCATAGGTGTAAAATTGTATTCAAAAGCAAGTTAAAAATTAGTGGACTTAGTTTGGGCATAGGTCGGTGACGACAATGCGTATTTCAGAACAAAAAAACTGGTAACAGATACAATAAAATGCCCTTGGTCAACTATTTTAATGGATGATACGAAATATTGCATGTGTTGTCTTTGCCAAGTGTGATTTAATTTTATTACTAGCCAATAAAATGCAAAATAAAGGCAAATACAAAACTCTGGAGAAAATAATTTTATGTAAAAGATGAGATACTGTATTACAGATTACAAATAATCGCTTTAAGACAAATTTCGATCATCAGTGATAAATAGATACAGAAATATTCTTTATTCATCTTCATCATCATTAAATTCTTCTAAAGCTACGTGCAAGAGAAAGCTCCGGTGCAAGAAAAGATCGGAATTGTTGATTCAGAGTTCTCAAAATATACATACCTGACGAATGCCGTGGAAGGCACAGAGCCAAAACATAAGCATAGCAGCTAGAAATGTTACTTGAAAGACAGCATCGATAGCCAATGGTATCCAACTATGCAGCAAGAAGTTCAGAGGAAAAATCGGATCTGAAAGAATTTAGCAGAGAATAAACTCGTCATTATGGTAGGATAGGCAAGGGGCCGGTTCAAAATTCGAGCTTTGGAAAAACATTTTGGATACCAATCTATGCATACAATGACGGCATTAGGAAAGAAAATTTAACTTTCAGGTTTAAATCTCGATAAATCGAAACTTCAATAAATCAATCAAATTTATAGTTCCACTTATCGATGTTCAGCCGTAAACGTACAATACTGATTATCATATTTGCAACAAGTGCTACAGTAAAATGGTTAGCTTCTTAATTAGCTTCTTTATAGCTATCAGCCGTTCATTTAGTACGCCAACTTTAAACAAATTATTTAGTATTATTATTATTATATTATTATTATTATTATATTATTATGGTACAAACGGTAGTAAATTACCATCGTAAAGAAGCAAGAGCGGCAACAGCAAAGACATCCATTTCTGCTCGATCGTCCATTCTCTCAAGGGGAATCTTTTCAACGTGTGAGCGAAAAGACACTGCAATGGCAGAAAGAAGAAATGAAATACGAGCTCGGAGAGATTCCTTACTTACCGGGCAACAATAAAATTAAAGAAACTCAGCAAAAAATTCGAATTTAGAACCCATCAAGACCAAAAATCCCCTTGTATTCGCTGAAATAATCAAAATTTTATTTCTACAATATCAACACACAAACAAAAAAACAAAACTAGAAAAGAATAGAAAATTTATCTTCAGGTGATAAAGGTGATGCGAATCTTACCGTTACTGTGAAGGAGAGAACCAAGAAAGCAAAACGAAACCATATCTCGATTTGCGTGAACTCAGCATTGTAATATTTGAACTGAAATATATAAATTATATTCGCACTTTAGAACTGAAAACATGGTAACTATAAGTAAAAATGGCATTTACACTAACAAAGGCAAAAAACTATTGCAGAAATATATTGTATCCATGTCTCATTAACTAACACGAAGATTTCTAAATCAATTTTCAATAATAGTTGGAAAAACTTTTCAAGAACTTCTTGTCTTCTGCAAATTTTTATTTAAAAAAACACATGTGGGTTCACAAAAGAAAACATAACAATGTACTTACCATGAAAAGAATATTTCGCACTTTAAGCACCGAAGGGAACGAAAGTTCGTGGAATCTGATGCTGATTTGATAAGAAGGATGCTCTATGTTGCTTATATGAAGGACAACAAAATGTTCGCAACCCTAGGACGAAGTGAGACGGAAATATAACATTCCAACACGGCCGAGAATCTTTACATTTACAAATGAATTAGAAAGTACTAAAAACATCCTGGCAATATCCAGATGCTTTATGCAACTCAATAGCCAACAAAATGATTTTCGAAAGTACCATCAGGAATATCAGAAATGCAAATCTTCTTAGCTGAGGACGTTACCTTTTATTGCCTCTAATGTTATTATATATTCTATGTATATGGTTGAATAAGGGTTGAAGCGTGAGAGGCAATTTGATAACCATTGTGTCTTATTGCTAATCAGTAACTAATTACACATTTTGTTTTCAATCACTAGTATTTTGAGTCAACGATTTGATGAGATCCCGTGTGTTAGACGACAAATCATATTTAGGCAACTTTGTACCATTATTGAGATCAAAAACTATAACTAAAAACACACATGCACATTCATGCTTTGTTCTGAAAATTTTCGCTGCCCTCTGGCAGCCTACTCAGTAAGAAATAAGTCGATCATAAAAAACTCAATAAGATTAAAAATTTATCTTTTAACTGCTCTTTGATCAACCAAACAAACATTGATAAGATCGATGCAAAGATTAAGTAAACGCACAATGAATGTCAAAGTTTAGCTATGAGGCGTTAAGGATTAGTGAATTATTTTACCTTGACAGTACACTTAATGGTTCTGGTCCTGTTATGGAATGACTGCGATAATAATTTGTAGCTGCTCGTATGTTTGTTTCGTCCCATGATTTTCACAAAAACACGGAACTGCTTTTCAAATGTAAATTCTGGAAAAAATGCAGTAACTGTTGATTAAGAACTACAGACTATAGTGGGTTTGAGAAGTCAGTTTCATGTGTCTGGCAAAGGTCTTTTTTATCAAAAATAAAACAGGTTTTTTAAGTATAATGACAGTCAAACAAAAAGAAAAAAAATTCAGTCTCGAAATTGTATGCGAGAAGTAAAAAATTGAATAAAAGTTCACAGATGCTTCATAATGGTCAGAAACTTAAGTACAGGATTTAATTTAAGGTTTCCATACAGCCATAATGTCATACTTCCAGCATTGAAGGAATGACAGCTTTGCCTGCCGTACCAACAGGAATGTAAATGGTACACAAACATGGACGTTCACAAAAGACCATTGCTCCAGTGATAATGTGCGATTTTATAAAGATATATATTTAAAGATAATCGACAGATACTAGAGTGGCTGAAGCAATCTTTCAAACAAAAATTGGCCAAGCAATATGCGTGACGTTTTCGTGGATACTAATGGTGGGTTTGTTGGTACAGATGATAAATTACAGTTTGTGAATGGATGAGAAATGTTGCAAGAGATGGCCTAAAGATGAATGTTGAAAAGTTATGGGTAGCGCAATCAGAAAAGGAAAGGGCAGTAAAAAGGAGCAATCGAGGACGTTGGACAGAAATCAACCCTGAAGAGAGGACACCACAGTTAATTTAGGTTTACCTGTCAGCGATGCATGGAGCGAGTGATTTCAAATGTATAAAAATGCTTGAGATGCTTGAGAGAGGCATGAAAAGAATGAATAAAGCAGGCAACTTCATAGAAGTTCCAGCTAATGACAATCCAATCTAACTTTCACAATAAATGGGCCATAAAACTTTAGTAAAAACTTGCATCCAAATCTGTCATTTAACGATTTGATTACGGTTCATCGAAAGGTCTTACCTTTTTTCCGTAATCCACTTATTTGCAATTTGCACAAAAGCCACAGCTGTTGGTTGAAGACTGTGAGCATTCCAGACTCCATTTTAAAAGGCCCAGTCTAGAATGAGAATGTAATTGCTGAATCATTGTATCTTGCTATATATAACCAGCAATATTTAAACATTCTAAAATGATTATGATATGTCTTTGGTCTTTGAATGACATCTTGATGTTTAACTAACGAAAATTTGCTAAATCGAACAGAACATGCAATTTTGAATGCGTATACTTGATAGATAAACAGAAAGTAGCCAAAAGTGAAACTCTTTTGAATAGTTTATAATACTTAATTAGACTAGGCGGAGAATAGGGGAATGGTCGCCCGAAAGTTAAATTTATGGGACCCAGTGCTTTTGGTCAATTTGAGGGTGCTGATTTCGAAAATCGATGTTATACGGGGATTTTGGAGGGCCATCAGCCTCTTTTTCGTGTTTGAAGTCTCGTTTTTGCGTATATGAGGGTAATCAATGAGAAAACTGTTTAAATGGAAATAAGTTAAAATCTTAAAGTTGATTAAGCACATTCTTGCGCATAAATGCTTAAAATTGAATTTTGGAATTTTAAGGGGGCCAAAAGCCTCGTTTTACGAGGAAATTGCGTAATCTTAAATTTTATATCTTTAAGAGACATCCAGCAGCGCTATTCAGAACTATGCAGCGCTATTCATTACTTACTGACAAATAACACAGATGGAAAAACTACAGGAACATCTAGATAAAGTTAAATCGTTTCAAAGTTCCCGAAGATCGTCTACTGAGTCACTGTACGCGACATTGTCTTTTTCACTTCTGCTTGGCTTAGCGAAAGTTCCCAGGTATGTTCTTGGTAACAAGCAAGGACCGAAATACCGGGGGCCCCTAAAAACTAAAGTACCATATGTAAAATACTTTCATTGTGTAAAATATGGCTGTTGTTATACTTATTCATCAGGGCTGCCCCCCCCCCAAACAAAAAGTTGTACGTCGGTCTTTGGTAACGAGTTTCACTTTGACAGTAACAAGTATCACAAGTATCAGAATCCTCATTCATTCCTACCATGATCTATCTACTAGGAAGTCCAACTGAAGCATCAAACCGCCAGCTTGTTATCAAATCATAGAGATATAGTTTGCGCGGAGAATATAATGGAACCTTTTGTGTTCTTTACATGGCGGCAGAAAACCGAGATTCAGGGTCTCTTTTTGTTATTTGAACTCCTGTACAAACAACTACTTTCGGAGAAGACTTAATCGAGATGTTCTTTGATTTATATAAAATACATGACGAACTGAGATATAATACTAAATAATAATGAATGTTGTACAAAAAAAGGAAGTGAACAGGATTTCCTGCCCTGCTACACTATGATTCTGTCACACGATTTTTGCTAAATCTGTACTTACTGCAGAATGCTGAAGTTCTAGTTAAATGATTGTTATTTTTTAGGTTTATATGTGTGTTTAGATTGAAAAAGGAACACATTGTGAATCAAACTGCCAATATTTCTATCAGATCCCATAAATTTCGTTTTCGGGCGACCATTCCCCTATTCTCCGCCTGGTCTAAATATATTTGAATATGATGTCCCCAAAACATCTTATAAAATCTGAGAGATCTGAGAGATTCAACAAGATAAATTTCAAGTATTGCATTTAAAAATGATAGCCAAACGATAAGAGTTTGGAGTAAAATGACCGAAAACCATTATCCCAGAAATTTTCAAATTTAAATTCGGTAATGTTTTGAAGTTTAGCTTGGCCTTAATGGATTATTTAACTGAATATTTGCAACAAAGGGGTTTAAGTAAAGAAATATGTGCATTTCTTGCGAGACATTCTCCTAGAGGATTTGGTTAATACCTGGAAAACATTGGGGCCTATATTTGGCAACATAATGATGCAGCCCTTTTTAGGCCATTTTTGAACAAATTTTCTTTTCTATCTGTAACCCCAGTGCCCTTCCTTGGATTTAAAAAAGCCTTAACATAATCAAATTATATGTTTGCAAATACCCAAAATGACAGTTGCTTATTTTTACAAATATCTTATTTTCTTACTTCAAACTGGTTACATACATATTATTGCTATTCTTGCAAACTGGTATTTTTATTTTGTCCTAGATCAAACAATGGCTTAATCAGGTAATAATAAAATCCATTGCAAGATCCCCCCACCTATATAGGTGCTGTATTACTTTGTCTTAATAGTGTTCATTTACACTTAAAGACTCATTGCTAACAATGAGCCATTGCGCTATTTAAGCACCCCATAATGCATTTTTAGACTGTCTAAAATCAATTTTGGTTAATCCTTAGTAAATTACTGCCATTTTTTAGACGGTCCCCTTGTTCGCAAAGTCCCATTGTTAGCAATGAGTCTTTAATACTTCCAAGGGGATCCAACTTACCATTAGATTCACTTTTGGGTCCAGCTGTCTTGCCGTGAGGGTATTCTGACTGATGATAGGGGGGCCTAAAAAATAACATTTTTATGAATAAATGGAAAACTTTTCATCTAATATATTCATATGATACTTGAAAAGACAATGCAAACACATACCAACTCACATAGAACACACATTTCTTTGTCAGATAACTATTTACATCTGATGACTACATACATTCAAGTAAATCATATTTAAATGCTGTAAATCCTCAAATTAGCCCTGGGGGCTTATTTATTTTTTATATTTTTGGATGGGGGCTTATTCGAGGGGGGGGCTTATATGATGGGGCTTATCAAATTATTGTAGACATTAAGAAGACATTAATAAAAGATCTTGTTTATTTTAGCAGGAACTTATTGACGAGCATTTAATTAATTACTACCAAAAGTATGAATTTGTTGTGGTAATTCAATAAAACTCCATAGGCAACCTCAGATGGCAAAAATCATCAAATTGAGGGACCTATAGAAAATCCTTTTCCTATAGAAAATTATGGGGCAGGGTACTATGAATCGCATCAAAATTCTGAAACAGGGTGAGGGAATCAAAATTAAGAACTTCTTTTTTTGTTCAGTTGTTTTGTTCAGTTGATATTTTAGGTTTTTTAAAGATACACCTAAAATAACTTCGAAATTGAAATCATTTTTATCCTGAAAGGTTGACTACTTCCTTTGTTTAAAATCAAAGCCTGTTTTCTAAAAGCACATTGGAAAAATTGATTTTGCCTCTTTGATTGTCCTGCCTCTAGTAATCCTGCATTAAATTAGGAGTTTTGATCAGTAAACCTGTGCTGGGAATGCAAGAGATAGTACATTATTTGTATATCTATCAATACCATTAAAATGAATTGAAAAGCATCCTATAGCATTTGACAGAATGTAATATAATATTAACATACCTGCAAGACCAATTATGAAAGTAATCACAAAACAAGAAAAGAATCCCACAAAGACAAGAACAAATTGTCTCTTTGTAAGTGTGTATAGTCTCATCTGCACTGACCTTGTAAAAATGAAAAATTGTGTCAATGAAAGAAGTGAAAAATAATTAGCAAGTTTGTATTATACTTGAATTAAATAGCATGCCTAAAAAACCAGCAGATTAAGCATTGTTACCTCCCTAAACATAAAGTAAGAAGAAATTGACTAAAAACCAAGTTATGAGCAATGTAGCTAGCAAATTGGAGCCAGTTTGTCCCATCTAGCTACAGCTACAAAAATAGAATCTTCAACATCACTGAGTAGTCATAGAAAAGTTTTTCTTCAAATGGCTATTCTTGGCAAAATCATTTCTTTTGTCTTTCTTAATTGTGCTGACATTATATTTGACCCTACAGACTATCATCATTTATAAAAGCAAGCACATGTTGCATTCTTTATGCTTATTTCAGATGTGCAAACCATTTAAAACAAACTTTTAAGATATGAAATTTTTGGGAAAATAAAAACCAAGTATTTTTGGAATCCCAAATGAATGCCACTATAATGCAGTGAAGCAATAACAATTAGGTTTTGTAGCAGTAACTTCCAAATGATGATTAGGCACCGAAAAAACTATTGCAAAAACTTATTCTATTGTCTTTTTAATTTTTCAGCAAAGCCTTTGAAAATAGTTGAAACACTTTTCTAGATCTTAATTTTTTATCACAACTACCACTAAATGTAAAAATTGGTCACTGACCATAGGCTTCAAGCATCCTTTTGCAACACAAACTTCAGAACATACATTTGATTTGTTTGCTCTTCTTTTTGTGAAGCACTTAGCTACTTATTTTACATTCAGAAAGATTTAAAGTTGCCAGATGACTGATCAAAATCAAACAGAGAAAAGAAAAACATGAAGCAATGAAAATGTTTAAAATGCCAAATATGTATTTAAGATCATTTATTTCATGGAAACAATTTAACGTTTCCACCATTTTGAATCTTCAGTTTTAAACACACCAGTAACGAAAAAGCATTTCTTTTTTCAGAAAGCATTTATTTCAAAAAGCCCTTCACTTCTCAGTCTTACACCAATACAGTAAAGATGGGAAATATGCATTCACAAACCAAAATGTGTAAAATTTTAAAATCATGCTCATACTGATTAAATGCAAATTTTCAAAAGAGCACAGGCATGCATCAAAGATTCCAGTCTTGGAATTATGGCAAGTGGCTTTATTAGTCTGTCTGGCTTGCCTAGATTTTCTTTTTAACTAATCCTCATGCAGATCAAAACATGCAGAGGTCTTTAGCAATTTAAGAACTATTTTTGCCACAATAAGAGGTTCAACAGTCAGGGCCTATAGTGCATATTTTTATCTTCCCTTATCATGATCTCAAACAAAAATTCTCTGTAATATAATAACAGATACTTATAGCCTCGATGATATAACATTCTTACAAAGATGATGGCTCTTGGCACACCAAAGTCTTGAAACATTATTATTGAGTCTAAGTTAAACTTTTGTGATTATGCTTCGCGTTTGCTAGATGAATATTGGAGTGGAAGATCGCTTCTCCTTGACTCATGTTGAGAATAAATTATGAAACAATGAGAGAGAAAGAGAAGAAAAGGGGTTACTTCTTCCTGTCTACTCCTAAAAACAACACTCCTAAAATTCCTATACAGTTGCGTATAAGAAGGTAAGCTTATTAATATACCAGAAACAAATTCCAGCGTTGTTCTAAATGTATGTGTGGGAGGTAAACAATACTCACGATTCCAGCTGCCTCAGTTTTGGGTGCGCCATGATACTTCTGTCGATTCTTAACCAAAGCGATAAGAAAAATTCTAAATTGACATGGTACCACGCTGAAACTACTCTCTTCTGTTTTCCTAAATGACCAAGGACTAAAACAATGAGGATTCGGTGAGTAGGTGGTCAGATCAACAAATCAAACAGACCAAACTTCCATGGAACAACAAGCCACCAGTTATTTAAACATTCTCGTATTCACACAAGCCTCTCCGTGAAATCGAGTTGGTAAAAAAAGCATGGCGCTGGTCAACTATGATCTCAATGTCCCTGTTCCAACAGAAGAAGATGTAGATGAAACCGTGAAAAAAGTTGAAAGATTGATCAGATTTGGCTTCTCAGTAATTGCATTAAATGTAAACCATTCCGTCTCAAACAAGCGAAAGAAACCGGGAAAGAAAAACGACAGCTTGCAAACGGAAGATGACGACAATAACAAAATAGCATTATGCCGAAGGCGACTGGAGCGGATTTATCAGAATGTTAACAATGTACCAAACAATTTTAAAATTCTTAGCCGTGTAACTGTATTACTAGACAATCCTGACCATGTCAGATGTCTTCAAACTGATTTTATCCAATCGTTTGACATCATTGCAATTCGGCCTACTAATGAAAAGTTATTTTTACAGGCGTGTACACAGATTGAAAACATTGACATTATTAGTTTAGATCTAGACGAAAAAATCCCTTTTAGACTAAAGCATTCAACTGTAGGTGCTGCCGTTGATCGTGGAATTTGCTTCGAGTTGTCTTATGCATCATGTATTAGGAGCACAAACCTTCGACAATATGTTCTGGCAAATTCTCTGGAATTGGTTAGGAAGTCACATGGCAAAGGAATTATTTTTACCAGCAATGCACAGCACTATATGGAAATTAGAGGACCCCAAGATATTGCTAATCTTGGGTTGTTGTTTGGCTTGAGGAATGACCAAGCAAGCAAGGCAATTAGGGCAACATGCAAAGAAGTTGTAGTGCATGCTTATGCTAGAGCAAAGACAGCAAAAAGTGTATTTTGTATGAGAAAGACTGGGGAACCCTCAACTGACCTTGAAACCATTGTAAGAAATGAAATAGAATCTACCGACACTTGCAACCAAGTCTTTCATAATGAACCATCTGCAAAACGGGCAAAGAAAATCTGACAAAGTCAAACTATAAGACAGATTCATGCCAGATTGATATTCTATAACATTACATCAATAGAAGTAACAATTTTTAGGTCTTATGTATTCATTCTTTTTTATGATTAGATTCATGATGACAAAAGGCTTCTTTCAGTTTTGCATTCTTCTTCATCAGAAGAGCAAGATGATGACACATAAATTTTTTTTATTTTTAGCAGAAGTAGTATGGTCCAATTTTTGAGGATATGTAAACAGTCTTCTTCTTCCTCCTTGATTCCCATTTCCTCTAACATTTGATGATGAAGATGCAAATGCGCTTTTAATGATTGTTTTTTGTTTTTATTATTTTATTTATTTTGTTATTGTTATGAGTATGCTTGATTCATAATTACCTTCTTCTCTATATTCATCTTTCTCTTCAATAAGTTCATCATCTTCATCATCAGTTATTTATTATAGTGTTATTTGTGTTTAGTAATGATCATTATTGCAATAAAATTGTGGAAGTGAAGTTGTAGTGGTTGTGTTTTAGAACTGTTGCGGCTTGTGGCCTCAACAGTCATGTGCTCATGTTTCTGATTGGCCTATTTCAATCCACAACTGGATATATGTTTCCTAGTGTACTGTTTTTATCTATGTTTTGACCTTTCATGCTCTGAACAGTGTCAGGCAAAAAGCTTCAGTTTGTTTTCAAAATGTTTGCTTTTTTCAAAGCCATCTTTTTTATCAATCATGATATTTCTTATCAATTTATTTTGCAATTTATGTAAACTCTGTTTCTCATTTTCTTGGTTCAAGGACATTACCTTTTTCTGTTTTACATCCTTAGTTTATCTTATTAAATGAGAAAAACGTTTCATGATTATCACATTTGTTATCACCTGTCTCCTTTGATGATACTTTTCAATTTTGTACACCTGTTGTGGAATATGTTTTTATCTATTATGAAGAAAGACAGCTCAGAAAAAACTTCATATTTGGCACCATTGAATCTAATTCTAAACACCTTTGTTTACATTTGCATTCATTTTCTTTGCCAATAATCTCCTTTTCCCGCCTGTTTCTTTTCTTAGTATAGTATTTTTTTTCTTCATTGTTTCCAATCATTCTATTGATAAATAGTTGACAATTCTTTTATTACTTTTGTTGTTGTTGTTCAGGTTGTCTTGATTGTTACTACTATCCTAATTCTTCATTAAATCATCAAAGCTGGATGAACTGTAGTTAGAACTACAGAAAATAGTAACAGTAAATCTGTCTATGAAATATTATATAAATGATGAAAAATGACCTTTGTATAATTTCTTCTAAAGAAGATTAAATTACTCAATTTTTCTCCTTAAAATGATACGAAGTATCTTTACTATTATATAATATAAATAATATAAATATTGTTTTTCTTAATTTATATAACAAAATTTGTTGCATATTTTTCAAATCTATTTTTCTATCAATACCAATTAGACGGACGAAATAATGGGTGAAATGATGCATTTTATCAGTAATATGATCCACAAAGAATTGACCAAGCAACTCTTCTTCTTTTCTTTTGATGCTGTTGATGATAACCATGGTGACTCTCCGTTGTTTCTAAACAGCTTCAGTCAATTCCAGACTAGAAATATTTCAAGGATGATCGTCTTTCAACTTTAGTATTACTCTCCATCTACAAATAAAAACTATAATTCTGAAGGTACGGTTGGTATCCTATCTTCTAAAACTCATCTTTATCACTCGTACATAATCGTTTGTTCATATTTTCTTTTCAATCCTCGGTTTGTAGCAAAACCTGTTTTCACAGTTCTTTTGCTTCTTTTAATTTGCTAATAACATTTTCTTCAATTAAAACAAAGAAAATTGAATAAGTTCTCTATTTGTACACCTTTCAATGAAAATTTTGATGAATATTTGTAACCTTTGTATCAGTTAATTTTTCCAAAGTACAAATCAACAATACAGTCCATTTCCCCCCGACTCATCAGTCGTTAATTGAATAAACCTTTCCGAAATGTTCGAAAACTTGTTGTTATCGCACGTGATCAATTCACTTTTATTAGATAAATCAAAATCTCCTTCATTGGTTTCAAAATATGGATGACTACAAACATTTAAACTGCGAGCATAAAATCTAATGCCTAATCATTTGTCAGGGAAAAAATGCTCATCAATATCCATTAGAACGGCCTTTCCAAAAACAAACAGATATTTCGATATTTCACGATATTTCACTTTTGAAAGGTATGGAATATCGAACATCGATTCTTCGCCGTACTCAATTCAATTAATAAAACATTTATTAACTAAATATTCAGTTTGAATATGATCAAAAGAAGGTACCAAGTCTAAAGAACATAGGTCGAATGCGATTATTATTTGGTGATCCATGCCTGATTTATATTTATTTTAAACGATCTTCAATGGAGATCATCAAATACAAAAAATACACTGCTCAATATAAAATGACTCCAGATTGATACCTAATTTGTCCTGATGACCAAAGTCAAAAGACAAAACCGAATAACTGGTTTGATTTGCAAATTATTTTCATATACTAGAATATCAATTATGACAGGCCAGATAACAACTGCAAGGCAAGTTCTTCGTCTTCTTTTAGTGATTCCTGTTGACCAGGAAGTTCCACTGTATCTGTTCTTGCTTTCTTCCTTGGAGATGGTCTTTCAGATCTGAAAAAATGTTTGAATCAAGGTTACAAATACAAAGGGTTCCCAATGGTTTGATGATCAATTCACAACAAGGAACAACAGCGTCCTAAATATACCACAACTTTCAAACATGCAAGATAAACACATATATATTATATATTTATATTTATCTTATTAAAACACAGAAACCCTATCAGCTACTATATAAAGATTAATTTACATATAATGCTGGTCTTCTAGGGATCGTGCTTCGGGAAAGGATGCTAATTTGCAGGAATTCCTTTAATTTCCTTTTGAACGTGGTAATCGTGGAGCTTATTCTTATTTGTAATGGGATTTCGTTCCACATCTGTGCACCACAATAGAAAAAAACTCCTTTTGGAGAATTGTAGGTTTTGCCTTGGGATGTCCATGTCAAGGCAATTTCTTGCTGAATAGTTTTTGGGATCTAGTGACAAGTCTTCCTTTCAAATTGTCGGGGCAGAGACCACATACAAATAGGTTGGCAAGATTTTACGTTAATGTGTTCACCTTTTGTGTTCTGGCTCTTCGTCGGAGCCATCAGAAAGTTCTCCTTGGTTGCTTGATTCTTCGCCTCCTAATGTCACTGAATTCTAAAAATGGATCAAAATCAATGTAAATTATATTTGAAATAAATAAAATGTAACTACTAATCCATGAAATCCATGTAAATGTAGCTGATTAATTGTTAATTTTGAAATTGCTTTAGATGAGCAGTTTGCGAATCATAATGATAGTTCAAGGATAATTAATTTTACCATTTCTGAGAAAATTTTTCTTTCTTTCCGTTGTTTTTTTCTGTTCTCCTGATGTTTACGCTTCACCCTGTCTCTTTCTGTTTGTCTGTCCAATTTATCTTCTTTCCCAAGTTTCTTCATCATCTTCTTAATATCGATACCACCTACAATATCTTTTCCTTCTAATTCTTCAATTGATATGGGTTTCAGCTGGTCAGAATCTTCAACTTCATCAGAGCTTTCATTGTCACTCACAACTGGTTTTGCAACTTCGTTTGCCTGAAAAATTATCATTCGATGCTAAACCTCTAACATATAGGACACAAAAGCCCTATAATTTGACTGCTAATCTGGGGTATATCATTCAAACACCTGGATCCTCTAGCTCTATTATGAGATCCATTCATAGATCCAGAAGTCGGTCAGTTCAAGAGCTCTATTGAACAAGGGCCCATCTTGCTTAAAAAAGTTCTAACAGAAAACCGATAAACTGGATTAAAAATAAAGCTGTTATGGTTATGTAAAATGATGGAAGGGATACCGCAAACAGCAAATCAGCAACTTTTGTGTTGCATGTACTGTGAAGATTACTTTCCAAATTGCATGTGCTGTGAAAATTAGTTTCCAACTCCGTTACATTTAGCTGTACTAGTGGAAGGAAGGTCTAAGTGTTTGATGTGGTAGAAATCTGTTAACCTTTTACGTGCAAACGGAATATTTGATTCAGACTTCACATCAAGCTATAAGCCATAGAGAGCTCTCTGTTAAAAGTAATAATAATAATAATAATAATAATAATAATAATAATAATGGAAACATTTCATTTTCAATTCAACTTAAACTACAATTACAAATCTCACTATTACAAGGTAATTTGCAATTGGATTGCCTGGTTTTACAAGAAAAAACTATACTATAACAATCCTAAGGTAAAAGGAAAAACTGAGAAAAAAATAAAACAACCAAAGTTAAAAAGGATGTAATTCCGGATTTGTCCATGGCTTATTTTTGCAACAAAATATGTAGTACGTAGTACGGATGGCAATGTTGGAAAGTTTAGAAATGAGATAACGTTTTTGTTGCTGATCGATGGAGAGAGAGTCACACATTTTGAAGAATGAATTGCAGGAATTGCCGAAGATGCCAAGAGAGCTCATAGAAAGATTAACAAAGGAGACACATTTGAACTGCCTCTGTAAACCAGATAAGAGAGGAGCATACTTGCTGTGTTTTCTTGTTCCATTAATAATAATAATAATAATGATAATAATAATAAGTAGCCCATCAAGTGAATGAGGGAATAAACATTATACAAAACAAAATAGCTAATTGGCATTCAGACAGGATTCTATCAAGCGAATACATATTAGCAGTGTAACACACTAGCATAAGATGCAGCAGTTTTGTTAGGTTTATTAAAGGTAATGTGTCCAGCTAAAGCAAGCAACTCTGCGGGGGTTTTCAGAAACATGTGATTTTTCATGTTATCGTCCCAGCCATTACAGTCATTCTGTTTATCTACCCTGCTGCGCGGTTAGCTTTTCATGTGAGCAGTTTTGCATCGCAAGAATACTGACCAATCGCAAACCGTTATTCTGATGTTACTTGACATGTTGGGTTTACGCAGTCCTTTTATATGGACACATTATTTTTAATGTTCCAATCGGCAAATAAGCCTTACAAACAGCTGCTGTAAAAGCCTAATATATATGTTTAGACAAGTACAGAAGAACTCAAATTATAAGTACTTATTTTATATAAGGCTAGAATTAAAAGCTGATAGTTAATCATCTAGAGCTTCTTTCTTATTGCTGAATGTCTCGTTTTCGAAGCCAACGCTTGGAAAACTGTTTTCTTCCCTGTTTTATGGTTGTTTTAAGCTGAATTGACTCGTTGTTTATGTCTAATGATAGCCTTACAGCCTGAAGAATCAATAAGAATCTTTAAGCATTTCTCTCCGAATATAGAAAGTAAATAACAATAACTCCTTTATTTTTAAATAATTTTTAATTCCATTCAAAAGTTCCAAACTTTTGAACTCAAATACTAACTTAACCCTATTTTTGGCTAACACAGCATAAAGTTAAGCAATGTTAATAGATTGTAGCTTTTATTTTGTTTGAGCACAGCTTGACTTTAAAAAAAATCTAATGTGCTTAACATCAAATGTTCGACAAAAGCAAGTAGCTTCACAGCGTTACTATTACATACCCATGGACTAACTCCCACGATTTATAGCATTTTTAGCATAGACTGGATCAAAAAAGTCACTTTTAAGTGTTCAGTTTGACAAACAGTCACAATATTAAGATAGAAATTTAAAACTTCCAGAATGCAAAATAACTCACTTCACCATCTTCGTCAAATTTGATCTTTGTATTCAGTCTTATCCCTTTTCTGATTATTTTCTTTGCCATAATCACCCTGCTATCAGGAGCTTTTCTACTCTTCACAACTTTGGAGGACTTTTCATCTTTAACTTCCTAAAAAAATTAAGCACAAGAATGGATTATTCAACATTAAATTACATAAAATAGTTTCTCTTGTGTCTCTGAATATTATTTGGGACATGCTTCAATTTTTTTAATACTCTATTTCAAATCTCATCTACGAAAACTATTTCTTTCAGAAAAAGAATTATATCTTTTCGATAGACATGAACTTATTTCAAATGCTATCCTATTTCAGGAGATCTTGAGAACTCTTAAAGCGACTATAGGTTAAATGAAAATTACTGAGTACCTTTGGTGCCTTAAATCTCTTATCAAGGTAATCAGTGTAATATAATTTGAATCTTAATAGTCTGAATCGTTATGAAGACAGCAAGCAGCCTAAATCTGAAGGATAAACACAAACAAGAAACTACAAGCTGAAATATATTTTACCAGCAAACCCTCATCATCCTCGTTTTCATCAACTTCCGTGTAAAGGTGCTTCTTTTTTAGAACTAGCACATCATCTTCTTCGTTTTCGTCAATATCACTGGCTTCATTTTTTCCGTCCTCGTTTCTAGTTTCCATTTCTTCACTGATGTGCTCTTCGTTGTCATCAGATTCTGAATCTTCAGAATCGTCATCATTAAGCCTGCTTCTCTTAAAAGCCTTCTCTAATTTTTCATCCTTTTGAGCTTCTTTCTTTGCAGAGCCAATTTTCTTCTCAAGTTTCTGAAGAGTCAAACAAAAATGAGCAAACATTTGACCAGGGCACGAAAAAAAATTTTCCTTCTTGCGACCAGACAAAAGTCATGCATAAATTTCCTGCGAGAATAGGAGCTACATTTGTTTTGTCTTCATATTTTTTCTTTTGATGAACATGAAAGAAACAAAGGTGCTTCTCACAAAAGTGTATATCTTAAAAAACTCCTGTAGAACTGTATTCATGAAAAAGTTCCTGCGACCGCCCGGTCACATGGTCGGATGGGTTTTCATGTTCTGCATTTGACAATTACTGACACAAATCACAAGCGTGACAAGTTAGGCAAATGTAGTGTCCTAAAAAAGCTCCATTGAAGTGACTAATGTCAACTTATGTCAACCACAGAGATATGATGTCAATCTAACATAGGTATCATGTCATAAGTTTATTTGACATAGTCATGCATACATGGAAATTTCAATAAATGAGATCTACATTTTAATTGTACACAAAGTGGAAAAAAGAGACAGAAAAGTTAAAATCAATCACCTTCATAAATCTAATCCGTGGAGGAACTGGCAAGCCAAGTGATCTAGAAAGATAATGTACCATAGTAGATGTTGGCAAAGGAAGCCCTATAGCTTAGAAATCTTCATATGAAAATCATTAAGATAGTTGTCAAATTGTCTGTTGTTAAGTACAAATGGCATAGACACAAAGCTTTACATAATTTTCTCTGTATGTAGAATAGATATATCCTTTTCATGAGCCAAAGCTTTCGCGAATAAATGAATGCTTAAAGCCAATAATTCCCCGCACAAACGAAAGTGAATTGATCAAAATTGACATTAATAGTCTATAAGAAATTAAACACAATTTCAAATATATTGTCATTAATATCAAAACTGTTTATATCTCAAAAGATTTTATGAAAGTCATTATACAAATTGATGTAACCCACGTATTTAGAATAAATACTTTGGTTACATCTAAAAAATGCTGTGTAATCAAAATTCTAAATTACATGGCATATTCTTTAATTGGCAGCTTTTGAACATCAAAGACCTTTTTGTTTGACTGAAGGAACACTGATCTAGCGTATGACACGATGCTCTAAAAGTAAAAAAAAGATAATCAGGAAAGTGGTCGATAACAAACGGAAAGTTGCCAAGCAAAGAAATTCTTGTGTTAATTTGCATAAGAATCTGTGACTATAAACATTTGAAACCTTAAAGTGCATGTTAGCAAACACCAGAAGTGTTGCATTTTAGCCAGACTTTGCAATAAAGACACTTGATATACAAACTGTCAACTTTTTTACCTGGATATACTAGCTTAAATCTTTTCTAACCACAATCGTAAATAGGGTTGTAAGCCAACTGAAGGTACATTTTCCTCCAGCATTCCTCGTAATATCAAAGTCAGTGGGTAGAAAATCTATTGACAGATTGACAGAAAGGGTCTGCATCCTCCTTGAGATGGAAAACTTACCTTGAAGTAGGAAAGATTAAGACAAAATAATAGGGACAAATAAGAGAGACAAACCCTTTGAGCCCAGTATTTCATTTCTTGACTTTGAGCACAAAAAGATGCCAGTTTGTTCTGTATGCTTTGCATCTTTTTAGGATCTGGTCTATAGACAAAAAAAAGAGGATATCAACAGTTTTAAAAGTATAGAATTATGAAACTCATAGATGCAAAATCTCTAAATTGTAGACGCAAATTTTCCTGTGATTATAATAGATATAAAAAAAAACTAAAAAGCACATTGAGTTCAAAATAAAGAGCTAAGATAGAACGTTAGCTTCCATTTTAGCAAAAAATTCCATAGATCGTTCAAGATATCTAGATAGTTCTGAAAGAAAATTGTATTTATCAAATCATTTTGTATCACTTTTCATGGCAATGATCAGAAACTAACACATTTCTCTTCACAATATGGCAAAGGTAGGTCTTCAGCAGAATTAGTAAAAATTTATATTTCAGAGAAGTTGGGAGTTGTTATTAGCAATAGGAGGCCTCAAACAGATTACTTTATCGTGAAGCTTTCAATTGCCTTTTAATTGATGCGTCTTAAGTTCTGCAATTACGTGGCTTATAGAATCATTTTCTGCTTGTCTTTGTTATATTTAAAAAAGATGAAT